ACGATGTTCGGCGTCCTCTGCGTTGACGATACGAGTTGAGCGAGCAGAATATTCGTCTGATTGAGCGTAGATATGATTGCTTGAGTGTTCTGGTCAGGGACTTGTGGGTACAGCTACGGTCACAATAGTCCAATCATATGGTTCTTGATGGAGTTGAAAGCTTTCAGTCTTGCGTGTTGTCCGTGCGAGCAGGCAATGAGCTGGTGCATTAAGTAACTAGAGTGTATTCTGCGAGAATAATAGTTGACACGATGAGCGGAGCCGCCCAGATTTCGCAAAGTTCTACAACAGAGGGGTTGAGATCCGCTCAGCCGAAAGCCTGTAAGGGACGTACATGAATGTAAAACATCAGTAATTTAATACATGATACATAGACAAGTAACACGCACCAGTTGAATCACGTCAGGATACGATCGAAGCCCTCGGTTGAGACGAAAGCAGCCATCATAGATGCAGTAGGGGTGGACCGCTGTGTCGCGAGGATGAGTGAGCGTATATAGCTTCCTACTGCGGCATGGCGTACCGGCCGTGCCATTCAACAAGAACACTGACAGAGTCTCTGCAAAAATGAGGGCGGCACTAAACAATTTTGAGCGAAGAACGTAAGTATGAGGACATCTGCAAGTAGACTTAGCTAATCAAGACGAGCACGGTGCACCAGTCGAGTAGACCACTGGAACCAAGCGCAAGCCGCCGAGAGTGATCAAAGGGTGAGCCATGGAGGCATAAAGGCTATACGAATCGAGGAGAACACACGCCGGTGCGGGCACACGCCGGTGCGGGCGCGCTGGGGCGCAAGTGGGTTGTCGATGGATGTGAAGCCCTCCAGTTCGGACAATCGCAGACCCGGGACGCAAATGTCCGTAGGCAGCGAAGTCCGCACCAGAGTGCTACGCCGCTCGGGGCAGTGACGAAGGCGGATTACTTGCTTCGAAGGCCATGGTGGTGGGAGGCAAGACGAAAGAGCGGGCGGTCTGCGCGGGAGCGTGCGTTCACGCGACTTGTCGTTTCGCGCGCTTTCGCCACTCGCACTCTGCCTCCCACCGCCATGGCCTCCGCCTCCGCCTCCACCTCCGCCTCTACCCCCACCACTCCGTCCCCCAGAGGACCCGCTGCGTGACGCGGCACGCGCACGCTTGGACATTTGCGTCCAGCGTGTGCCTGCTCTTCACGCGGCCTACAGGACTTTCGCACTCGCCGCGACAGCTGTCCCCACTCCAATCATTTATCGACAAGCCCAGGCTCCGGCCAACAAAGAGCACAACAATAAAATATGTACGCCGTCTGCTTACGTGCGCGATGGAAGTATGCCACTAATCAGTACTGCTCTGGGTGTTTTCACGACGGTGTATGTATCGAATTGCTCGTGTAGTCGCACGAGTTGCCTTCAGAGCTGAAGGTGAGGAAGTTAGTCGCAGTTGACTGTCTGAATCGTCGTATTTACTCACTGATGCACCACAGCATTTTTAGTGCTGGAGGCCATGTTGAACTCTCGAATCTGAGAAGAGTGCGTCTCATCCCGGTTTATGATATGTCATGCATTGCTCTCGTACCATCTCAGATGTCTCTGTGCTGTAGCTTTAACTGTGTCTGACGATTCCTTGAGATTTTTGATATGAACTGTCGACGTACATGAACGCTCTTTCTCCTGCAAGTGCTTAGCCTCCATTGAGAGTGACCACAATGATTTGAGTAAGAAAGAAAACCCGGGTTCGATTCGACAGGATCGAGTTTTCTGAGTAGGGCTGAGTACCCTTGCGATTGAACGCGCTCGTGTTCAGAACGATCCGAATGCGTTCTGTGATTGAATAACGTTGGATGATCTGAACGGGAATGCGCGCCCCCGCGATTGAGCACGCTCGTATTCAGGTCGATCCGAATGCGTTCTGTGATTGAATAACGTTGGGTGATCTGAACGGGAATGCGCGCCCCCGCGATTGAACACGCTCGTGTTCAGGCCGATCCGAATGCGTTCTGCGATTGAATAACGTTGGGTGATCTGAACGGGAATGCGCGCCCCCGCGATTGAACGCGCTCGTGTTCAGATGGATCTGAACGCGCGTCTTGATTAGATGAGGTGATCGAGATGGGGATGGGCACTTTTGTGATTGGACATGCTTGTAACCAGATGGATTGGGAGGTGTTTGTCGATATGACAAGTTTGGGTAATTTGAATGGGAGCGAGTATTTATATCTCCGTATTGGACATGGCAGAATCATCAAACCGCACACAGTGTGACGACACTGAGCTGACCATGCATCGCAAATTCTATCGATTCTCGTGTTTGGACACGCAGGAGCCACTGATATAGAACCATTCCGCGAGAGGCAGACCTCTCAGTGAGGACATTTACTACTGGAGCTGATATCTCCCTATGTTCTATACGGGCAAGAGTGCCATGTAGTCGGTCTCAGCCACAGATAAGGCATGTTCCGCTACCACCAATGATGGCAGCAAAGACAGTGGCAGAACCAGAACCCTACCAGTTGTGGATTTGCGAGAAGAGGGCCAATCAGGCAAGCATACATCCCCAGTGCAAGGAACTCTGTGATCTAACGAGGCTTGTGATTGAATGGCATCTAGTTGATTCGGTTACTCAGCACTTAACTGAATCTCTCTTCAATCATGATTGGCTTAATCTGAACGAACATATGATCAGGCACCGTGAATGGACAATGGCGATCAAAGTCTTTGAACGAGCGTGAGAATATTTGAATACGATGCCGATCATCGAGACCAGATCAGTATGCACGGGTTGTCCACGCAGTGCTTTGGCGTATCCGGAGGCTTGGATAGCTCCTGACAAGCACTAACTATTGCCAGTATGCTCATACTTAAGGGCGCGAGGGCTAGCTATTGTGATTGGCCGCGATCAAATCTCGGGGATTTCTTTATCCCGCATTCTGATTGATGTCCGATTATCAAACCTTCGACCTTTACGGCTGCGAGCGCAGCGCATGCCTGGAGTCTGAGCATGTAGACGGTGACAGTGCATGCCGTCACCACCTCTCCCATCACGGTGAGCCCGGCCCATATGAACTGGGTCCCAATCTGCCAAGCAAGGCGCTGCTGGTAGTTGTTGTTCGTGTACCAACAGTCTTTGTCCAGCGGATCCCATCTACATCCAAGTTGAGGCCAGACTTGCGTTGCAATATGTGATCCTGGACATACCCGTACTGACTTGCAGCATACGGAGGGATCGTAACGACTAACGCCATCGCGATTGAACATATGAGATAGCATCTCTCAAGACGTTTGCTTCTGATGCCGTGTACTACGACTAATCTGAGAACTATCAGTGTCGGTTTCGGCAGTCACACAGAAGAGATGACGTACTGAAGGTTGAGACCGATGCAAAACAGTAGGAAACTGGATATTTCAAGCGTAAGCTGGAGGAAGCGTGTCGTAAGAATACCACCATGCGCCCGGTAGAATCGGGCTCTCACCTGTAAGAAGAATACGGACAGTCCACAGCCTACACTGGGGCCAGTCAAAACCCCACCAATCACGCTGAAGATCCCAAACAGCATGCTGCACCGGATGTGAGTGGTAAGATTGCGGAAGCAAAGACCAGCGATGTACTTCGCAATCAAGGAGTAAAGCATAAGACGAAAGCTAACACGGTCGAGATGTGCTCTTGACGCTGGATGCGTATACAGAGCACCAATAACTATGAGTGCAAGGAAACAGAGACCGGCCCCCACAGCCGAAGTGACCGCCCACAGTCGATTGCTTGGAGATCCGTGAGTCGCCCATGATGTTTGATCGATGACCACACTCACGAGACGTCCACCATTTCCGGTGTAAAGTATGGAGCCATATCGACGGTCTCAATGGGCTAGAGGAAGGAGGAAGCGCTGGGGAAAATATCAGTCATGAGCTCAAAAGACGTGATAGGGCACGTACTATGAGCGGCTCAGTCCTGTCTCCGGACAGAGAGCGTAGTGCTGCGACACCAACAGCATACATATACGAGCGAAGACTCAGAATCGGGTCGGCCTTGACTTGCGGTTCAAGCCCGTCACTGGCGTAGATAAGCAGCTCAATAGGGCGTTCGGCCTGGGTGAGGTGCTTAATTAGGCGCGTTAGGCACACGTACGGAAGCTTGTATTCAGTTGGGCGTTCGAATGTGTTCCTAAAGAAGCCCGTATGAGCGTCTAACACGGAGTAAGATTCCGTGGGCCAGCAAGCCCGCGCACACGCAAGATAATGGACGATCGTCGTTGTATGAAGAGGACGCCCAGGGAGTACACCTTGAGCTGCTTGTGGGTGCTAGGTCGCAGGTAGAAAGCCAGCTATGAAGTCTGGCGTTGCACGCCTCGTTCAAACATTGTGCCCGAGACTTGGACATGCGACTGAAAGGGCGCATGTATATCGTAAAGCACCCGTCTCCTGAGAATCGGTGGTGGCTGTCGGCAACATGCAATGGCGGAACGCAGAGGCGTGGTAAACCCCTCGGTGATAGCCGAACACCGACACTGAGCGACTTGCTTCGAACATTAGCAGGTATTCTGATTACTATCTTATGGCGGCATTGCCTGAGTTTACAAGTATGTGAATCCCAGCGGAAGACCCTCATATATCGCCGCACGCCGGCGTCAGATGATCCTCATGAACTCTTCCTCTTCGGCCTGTTCGCGTCGAGCGGCCCCTTCCCAGCGATCACGTATGCTCTGCGTCGGCGAGATTGGCGAAGCGAGGTCAAATGCCACGGCTCGCGCGGGATTGCAAGCTTTCCCATCCACTCTCGCGCCCGCTTCCAAGTCTGCAAGCATGCCTCGTTCTGCCTTATCCGCCGAGTGTGACGGGACCCGATCCTCCTCGCCTACACTTGCTATGGTGGCATCGGTAGTGCATCGTTCGATTGGTAGACCTTCCGCTTTGCCGTCGGATGCCATATCAGCTCCTGAGGCACCGCTAGCGTGGTCGCGAGCTGCGACCGTCGACAACTCCACTTGCACGACAAGACCGTCGTCACGTGCTCGAGATACGCCATTCCGTGTATTCGTGACCGTACGCGAGCGAAGTGTGGCAGTACTCCCCCAGTCGCAGTCCCAGTGGTGCGCCACGAAAGTACGAACGGCGCGGATGAGTGCCTACGAGAGGACAAGTATCAGCCGTATGTTATGATGTTCACAAAGAGTGTCCTCGAACCAGATCTGTAAGCGCGAGCAGTGCGTAGATCACAACACGACCGCCATAGAGGAAGTCGCTGAGCAGTAGTATGCGGTAGTCCTTCAGAACGGCATTCAGTGTCGTGAATCATCCATCACGAAGGAGAGTCCACGACGTACACTGGCATTCTGTATGCCGTCTGACGCGCTGGAATGTATCACGGTGAAGATGCTTGTCAGGTTGAAAATGCAAGACGCGAGCGGATACAGGGCTGCAAGGGTAGTATTCAGTTTCCACTTCGTGATAGGAGTCAGAGTGAAGCGTACCAATACGGGCGACGACGTTTGCGTAGGTGTGGGCATGCAAAGACATAGGCTTCAGGGAGGCCGCGCTGGTGCTTGGCCGGAACCTGTCCTTGACGCAAGGAAAGGCATAGTTCGTGGACGCCGTTGCAGCCGAGATGATGTGCTTTTGCCGATACTGGTCATTATCACATCAGTACCGTCTCTGAGTCATCGCGTGCAGATGCACAATGAAGTACGTACATGTATCCTGAGCATGTAAGTAGAAACTGTACATGCAGTTAGCACCTCCCCCACCACAGTCAGCCCCGTCCAAACAAGCTGTGTGCCGATCTGCCAGGCGATGCGCTGCTGCTTATTCTCGTTGGTGTACCAGCAAACGTGCTCGAGAGGATCCCAGCTGCGATAGGGCTACATCAACTTGGTTGGGTAGATCAATGCATGTCGGCGTACATACCCGTATTGTCCAGCCGCATATGGAGGGATCGTGATGATCAATGCCATCACGAGCGAGCAAGCGACGTAGTACTTCTCGAGATGTTTCCCTCGTATGCCATGTACGACGACAAGTCTAGGTGATGTCAGTCTCCGACTCATTTGAGACTGCAGGAGGATCGACTGACTGAAGGTTAAGAGCGATGCAGAAGAGGAGGAAGGTCGACATCCGCAGCGTGAGCTTCGAAGAGAAGGTCGTCAGTAGCTACCACTAGGCGCAAAGATCAAAAAGACTAACTTGCCTGTAAGAGGAAGATAGCAAGACTGCAACCAACGCTGGGCCCAGTGAATTTCCCCGAGATTGTGCTGAGTATTCCAAGCGCCATGCTGGAGTGAGGACGGATGAGTCAGTACTGTCTTGTCACTGATCGAGGGTAGCTTACTTGTTGATCAGAGAGTACAGCATGAGGCGAAAGCTAAGTCGGTCGAGGTGGATTCTTGAGCCAGGATAGGTGTACAAGATGGCGATGATCACGAGTACTACAAAGCAAAGGCTGGCCCCGACTGCAGATGTCACGGCCCATAACTGGTTACTAGACAGTACGTCAGTTCAGGTAACATCGTCGATCTTCTGCTGGAGGCACTCACGAGATCTTCGCCCTCTCCGGCGTGAAATAACTCGGGGACATAACAACGGTTGTTCGATGGAGAGGTCGAATGAGTGGAACGAGATGCGATAGTTTCCTATAAGACGATACGCATACACCTCATTGGCGCCTGTCTGACGACAGGCGCAATGCTGAGTGTCGATTGGGTGTACAGGTCGCCTAAGTCAGTACTTCTACGTAGCGCCGAGCGTCGTGCATTGCGCCCGCGGCAACAACGGTCACCTAATTGGATCGCCGAGCATCCAGATATGCCTTTGAACCGGTCTATCTGTGAGTCCAACAGAGGCAGGGTGACAACCCGTGTCACTATTACGGACTTCTTGGCGGGTCAAGGCTGCCAAGTTGCTGCTTCAGTAAAGGCTCGGCGCTACATGCATCCATCAGCGGGGATGCCATCATCTGGCATCGCACCAAGCACTACGTGGGACGCGGTGCCAAAGGTGTTCGCGAGATAGCCAAGCCTGTACGGGCGGTAGCGATACTTTTTCGGGACCGATGACGCGTCAGAAGTACGGGAAGAGCTCCAGGGCATGCTTGGTCTGATGTAAAATGTTCTTTTATAGTAAGCCTTGACGATCATTTTCCCAGAAGGGGGCGGTAGTGGTGGTGGTGATGGACAAGTTGAACATGGGTTCGTAGCACCGTGTCAAACCCCCGGTGATGGCCGGCGTTCAATGTAGAGACCGGTCTACGAGCCGCTCGTACGCCCGCACACAATCTAGCAACCAACCAGTGCTGTACGCCTCCTGCTTGATCATGCTTTCCTAGATACTGCCTGTACTGCCATCGTCTTTGGCCTCGTGGATCGGTCCTGTCCTGACCTTGTTATTGTCCTGAGAAGCGATGGCTGGGAGCTCGGCGCTCGCCCTCCCTCGGGCAGACTTAGGGTCGCAGGACAGCGGGTCAAGATGTAGCGATCTCTTGCGCACGTACGCTTGAAGATCCCCTTTCCAGGATCAGGGTGTTCAGGAAAGATATGCAAGTGGATATGCGACGATATCGGGTAGCGAAGAGAGTAGCGATGCGAAGACAATCAACCAAGATCTCGTACAACATGCATCCCCTATCGCAAGCACAGGAATCACGCTGAGGCGTTCGAAGAACATCGCCAAACCTCCTACAACTTGCGCGTCTTGACGCTATGACTCGCAACAACGCCGATCTCCTTCCTCACCGCGTTTCCGAACGCGACCTTGGTGGCCTTCTTCTCCTGCCTCCGTGCGCTCTTCTGTTCCTTGACGGCAGCCTTGCGCGCCTTCTTGTCCTCTTTACTCTCGTTTTTGAGTCGTGTGACCGTTTGGTGTTTGGGGTGGTCGGTCTCTGTTTCGGTGTCTGATGACGGGGGAGAGGGCGCGCGAGGTTGGCGTTGGCGTTTTGTGGGAGCTGAGGTGGGAGGGGTCACGATGGGGAGTCCTGTGCGTGGGTCGAGGGTGATTTTGGGTACGGGTTGTGAAGTGCGAGCGCGGATGAGGCGCGGGTGGTTCTCGAGGTTCGTGTGCGTAGCTTGAGATGCAGTCAGTACGGCGAACGAAAGCAATTTGAGACCAAGCACTTACTGAGCACACTCTCGACGTCCCACCTCTCGCCCTTATCCTCCTTCTCCAGCATGGCGTAAATAGCCTCCTCGTCATCCTCATCGCTCTCGTCACTATCTTCCTTTTGCCGCTCGTCTCGTCCCATAGCGGTGCGTATTTGGTCGAGCTTCGATGTAGAGTCGCCCTCGAGCACAGGCTTCATCTTTCCGCCCGCCACGTCGAACTTGTCCAAGAACTCGTTCATCATGCTCTCGAAGTCCTCCCTTGTAGCGATAAGATCCGGTGCCTCATCCTCTTCATCGTCAGGAATGTACTCGTCGTCCTGCTCCTCGTCGGCGTCCTCGGCGTAGTGCTTCTGCTCGAAGACTTCAAAGTGGTCGTCGAGGAGGCGCATGGACTCTGTGCGGGCCATTGCCGAGGAAGACATGGAGAAGCCCGAGGCGTCCGAGCCGCCTGTCCGGCGTTTCTTGCCGCCGATGACGGAGAAGGTGGGCAGGTTGCCGAGGGTGGATGCGCCTTCACTGCCAAAGTCATCGTCTTCGTCGACAGATGCGGGTGCGGCAGCGGCAGAAGACTTTTGACGGCGCTTAAAGGCTGCGACACGGTCTTCGAGCGACGCATCCTCTGGCAATTCTTCGTGCTCCACTTCCTCCTCCACGCCGTACTCGTCAAACTCGTACTCAAAGTCCTCTCCCTCGCCTCTCTCGCCGTCCTTGACAAGTTCTCCGAAGAAGTCGTCTCCGTCGTCGTCGACCAGATCGTCGTCCACAAACGCATCGTCTTCAAGCGCCTCGAGCGCCTGACGCAGATGCGGGTCCATGTCCGGCTGGAATCCCGCTAAAGCAGATGGCACAGCCGCGCCCGACTCGTAATTCCTCGGCATCTCGTTCGCAGACGGCAGTGCGCTCCCCAGCTCCTCCTTCAGATCGATCGGCGCGCGCTCTTTGCCCTTTCCTTTTGATTGCGAAGGCGCGGGCGCAGTCAAGAGCGTGCTCTCCACTCCGTCCTCCTGCACGCCCACCGGTCGTAAATGTTGCATATAATCGTACTCGGTGTCATCGTAGTAGATCCCGTATAGCGACGCCTCGCCGACGTTCGGTCGGGCAGCGAGCTCAGCCGGAGAGAGAAGCGATTCGAGGTCGGCACGGGATTTGCCTTTGCGCTGGTCGTTGGAGCGCGTGAAGGGCGAGAGGACGTGTTGGGGTGCGTCTGGGTCGTGAATCAAGGGGTCGCGCTGGGAACGGTGGACGAGCTGGAAGTGCTGGGCGCCTGGTTGACGGAAGATGGATTTTGATTTTGGCGCCATCGTGTAGAGCTACAGAATAATGATACAGATGCAAAGTCTAGTCTTCTAGATGCAGAATATACAGGGTCCAAGCCGAAAGATGGCAGTCGAAGCGCAAAGCTGATGGCGAGGTGCTGAAATCTTGAGTGGCTTCGGTCCGGAAGGGCCGGTCATGCGCTTACGTGATCGGCGCGTTGACGCGCACCGAGTCGCGCCTGGCGAGTCCCTTCGAGCGGCCATCTCGACTGCACCCACAAACGCTCTACCTTTCACCGATACAATTTCTCTTTCTTTCTTACCTCTTTTATATCTCTGTTATAAACCACCACTACGCGCGAGGGACGGAATAGGAGAAGGACAGGATGCAGGCGCAACGGGAGAGTGTCCGTCGCGGCTTCTCATTATACGTACCCTCTCCTCCGCGTACGGCAATATGTACTGACAATGCGACGTATATACGAGTCACCAGCGCGTGATACTGGAGATTGACTTCAATGGCCTTCTCTGGGTGCGTACATGCGTCCATGTCCGACGCGCTTGTCTGACTTGTGGTTTATAGGGATACACGGAGATCACGATTGTGCCGACGACCAAGGACCTGCGCACGGTCAACCTCCACTCGCGCCAATGCAGTGCGTATGTTATGTCCGGTCAAATATACCATACTAATGCCCCCCAGCGATCCACAACGTGAGCGTGGCACAGGAGCAGGCCGACTTTGTGCACTACGACCCCCTTGCCAATCTCGCGACCTCAAAGGGAAACGACGTCCACGCCCACCCGGAGCTCAAGCGCAAGCTCTACTCGGCACTTGCCGAGGGAGACGAGGGCGAGCTGTCCATCGCCATCCCGGACAATGCCGTCCGCGCGTCCGGTCGCGGGTCTGTCGCCGGTTTTGGCAGCGAGGGTACGCGGGTTGTGTTAGCGCTCGTGGAATATATTGCTGATATATTGCAGGCGCTACACCAGAGCCGATGGCAATTCCGCACGGGCCGGGCGAACATTTCGCGCCCATAACGATCAATATCGAGTACAGCCTGCGCAACCCTGCAGACGGCCTCAACTTTGTCCTCCCCTCAGACGCGTATCCACACGTGAGTCCGAGTCTACTCTGAACACTTGCGCGCTCGACTGACTGGTATGAAAGCGCGTGCCACACGTGTACACGACGCCCACCTCCCCAGACGCGGCCAGGTGCTGGGTGCCCTGTGTGGACAATATGTGGGAGAGGTGCACCTGGGACTTGGAGTTTGTCGTTCCAAGATATCTGGAGGAACAGGATGACGAGGACGAAGATGCCGAGCCTCAAGACGATCACCCTACCATCGTTGTTTGCAGCGCCGATTTCGTGGAACAGGCGAGTTTATCTCTGCGCTATTGCTACTACTGGTTTCTGACGAAGTTTATAGGTCTCGCATCCGTACAATTCGAGCAAGTCCATATTCGTGTTCTCTCAGAGCACCATCACATCCGCCCAACACATCGGGTTTGCGGCCGGACCTTTCCACGTTCTGCCTATCCCCACCGAGCTCAGCGCAACCGAAGAAGGCGCCAACGCGACTCAGCCTCCCATGCACGCCTTCTGCCTCCCAGGTCACGAGTCGGCACTTGCGACCTCCGTCGCCTTCACTCGCCAAACGATGAGCTTCTACACGACCGAGTTCGGTTCATATCCCTTTGGCTCGTACAAGATGGTCTTCGTCGACGACCATCATCTCCCTCGGCATGACACGGCCACGATGGCCATCGTATCCGTCGACCTCCTTCACGGCGAAGACGCGATCGACCAGGTCTACGAAACGCGTCAACAACTCGCACACGCCCTCGCCTGCCAATGGTCCGGCATCAACATCCTTCCCAAAGTGTGGTCCGACACCTGGCTCGTGAACGGTCTGGCGCTCTACATGGCCGCGCAGTTCACCCGGAAGGTGCTAGGGAACAACGAGTACCGGTTCAGGCTGAAGAAGGATATGGAAAGGACCATGAGTCTGGACGTGGGGACGATGCCGCCCATATGCGTGCCTACTCAGCACGACCCGCCAGACGCGTCGGTCTTACCGTTTATCAATCTTAAGTCTCCACTCATCCTACACATCCTCGATCGCCGTCTCGGCAAATCCGGCACTTCGCTCGGTCTCTCGCGTGTACTTCCAAAGCTTTTCCTCACAGCCATCTCGGGTGAAATGGCGAACAACGCACTCAGCACACACGCTTTCCTGCGTACATGCCGCAAAGTGAGCGGTGTGGACCTGCGACGGTTTGCCGAGCAATGGATCTACGGCAGCGGTTGCCCGACCTTCTCCTTTACGGCGTCGTTCAACCGGAAGAAGATGGCGGTGGAGATCCATATGCGGCAGGACTGTCCCGCATATGATGCTGGAGATGAGGTGCACCGCGCGTTGTTCAAGCCTGTCGAGCTGTTCGAGGGACAGATGACGATCCGGATTCATGAGGCGGACGGGACGCCGTACGAGCATGTGCTGGACATCAGGGCGCACGAGAAGCGGTTCGAGGTGCCGTTCAATACGAAGTATAAGCGTGTGCGGAGGAACACCAAGCGGTATCTCGCGAGGCAACAGGCGGCGCAGGCTGCTGCAGAGGGAGACGCGGAGGCTGCCGAAGCCATGGGAATGGTCGACATCTCCTTCGGCTTAGACATCTGGGAGAAAGAGCGCGAGCGCGACCTGTGGAAGGTGCACGACTGGACGGAGGACGACGAGAACGTGATGAACGGCGCGACGTACGAGTGGATCCGGATGGACGCCGATTTCGAGTGGATATCGAGCATCACGTTCAGCCAGCCGGATTTCATGTGGGTGAGCCAGTTGCAGAGGGACCGGGATGTGGTGGCCCAGCTTGAGGCGGTCAATGCGCTCGCGAAGATGCCGGCGAATCCGATCATCTCGAGCACGTTGACGAAGACGGTGCTGGTGACGAATTATTTCTTCAGAATAAGGTGTGAGGCGGCAGCGGCTTTGCTCACGGTGCGTATTTACTCTCTATTCTCCATGTTGGCAACACAATGCTAAATACATACACAGTGCGCGATCCGGAAACACGAGTTCCTTGGCCTCTTCCACCTCTTCAAGCTCTTCCTCCGGTACTGCTACGAGCCCGAAGACCCGGCCCAGGACCTCTTCGTACATTCCTACGTGCCACGTCCAAACGACTTCTCCGACATCGCCGAGTACTTCGTGCGTCGGGCGCTCATCCGCACTATCGCCCAAGTGCGCTTCGAGAACGGCAACACTCCCGCCGTCGTGCGGAAGTTCCTCGTCGACTTGCTCAAGTACAACGACAACACGGCGAATGCATACACGGATGCGTTCTATATTTGCACAATCATTTCCAGTCTGGCGGGCGCATCTGTGTGTGCGAACGCACCGGAGAAGGGAGAGCTCGCGGGAGATGTGGCACAGGCGCCTATGGAGCCTGAGGACGCGAGGCTGTTGAAGGAGGCCGTGGCCGAGGTGGACCGCTACAGGAACATGGACCGCTTGATCTCATCCCCGCACAACGCTGTCACCGTCGCGGCGCTTGAGTTCCGCCTTGTACTCAGCACGGCCAACCTCATCCCCAACGACGCCAAGATCTGGTTCCCGCTCACGCGTGAGGGCAACTATACTCAAGTCCGCCTCGCCGCGTTCGACAGCCTGTTCTTCACGAAATGGTACACGCCGAAGATCGTGCGCTATGTCTTGGCCGTCATCGCGCACGACTCGAGCAGGGTCGTCAGGAGACAGGTGGCGCGGAACGCGGGGCACAGTCTGGCGCTGCTTGTGGCTATGGGCGAGTTGAGAGGTGGAGGGTCCAAGGGCGATGAAAGCGGGCCCACCTTGATTGAGGAGGACGGCACTGGCGAGCGCGCGGATGAGAAGAGGAAGAAGGGCGAGGTCGACGCGCTCATCAAAGCGTTACGCAAGGACAAGGAGATCGGCAAGAGCGAGGCTCTACGCGAGATCCTACTCCCACTCGCGCTCGACCCGAACGCCGACGCGGAAGTGCGATGGAGCGTCCTGAAGCTCGCGGACGTGCTCATCAAAGGAAGCGAAGAGGCCCCGCCCAAACTCAGCATCCACATCCCGCCGCCGACACCCGTTATTGAAGCCCCGCAGCCGTCTGCAGTTATTCCAACGGTCAAGGTGCCCGTGAAGAAGGCGGGCACGCCGGCGCCTGGGACCGGGCCGGGCACGCCGGTGCCGCCCAGCATCAAGCTCAAGCTGCCGACGATGCCACAGACGCCCGTCGAGCCGGCGCCCGCTAGTCCGTCGGTGCTGCCCAGTGCGCCTGTGGTCAGATTGCCGGCGCCGAGGGTCCAGTTCAGCGAGTCACGGCCGGCGTCGCGCACGGCGTCACCAGCGCCTGCTCCGGCGCCTGTGCTGAAGAAGCCCAAGGCGCTTCCGCCGCCTCCGCCGCCTCCTCCTGCGCCCGCACCCGCGCCCGTAGCTTCGCCGTCCAAGCCTCGTCCACCGAAGTCCGGCCCGAAAGCGCAGAGTGGCGGGATGGGCATCGTCGATCTCAAGGCAACGCGCTCGGTCCTGCAGAAGCTCACGCAACACAAGGCCGCCACTCTCTTCCGCCAGCCCGTCGACCCCGTGCGCGACCAAGCGCCCGGCTACTTCGACATCATCAAGCGGCCCATGGACCTCTCCAACATGCGCGCCAAACTCGAAGCCGGGCTCTACCCGGACCGCTTCGCGTTCGAGGCCGACTTCAGGCTAATGATCCGCAACGCGAAGACGTACAACGCGCCCGAGACGTTCGTCGCGAAAGAGGCGAGCAAGTTGGAGAGCTATTTCGAGGCGCAGTGGAGTCGGATGAGTAAGACGATCGAGAAGGCTCAGCCGGCTGTTCAGGCTAGGGCGCAGAGGGAGAGGGCGATGCCGCCACCGCCTGTCCCTATGCCTATCGAGGCGCCGGAGGAAGTCGTCAAGCCGCCTGTCGCGGCGCCTGCCCCCGCTCCTGCTTCGAGGCCGAGGGGAAGACCGCCGAATAACAGTACGCCTGATGCGGGAGCGCCGAGGCTGAAGTTGAAGATCGGGGGTGTGGGCACACCTATTGCTGGACCTTCGTCGCCTGCGCTTCCGGCTACGCCTACACCTGCGCCCAGACCCAAACCGCGCAAACCATCGAAGCCTGCGCCTGCACCTTCGCTACCAGACGATGGTACGCTCGATCTGTTCGAAGAGGTGCTGGCGATCGAGAAGGAGCGTGGTGCGCCCATAGCGTCGAGCTCGAGCTCGTCGTTGGCTCCGCCGGGCAAGAGGAAGAAAGATACGACCGACGACGACGAGCCGAGCAAGAAGCGGAGTCGGAGCAGGAGCCCGTCTGTGCGCGGTACACCGTCTATGAAGCTTAAGACCCAGGCGCAGGAGGGGAAGGGCAAGGAGAGGGAGCGGCCGAGTACGCCCACGACCAGCAGCGGCCGGCCGGCGCCCGTCGGGAAGCCGATCGCAACGCCTGTGGGCAAGCCTATTGCTATGCCTCCGGGGCGTCCGACTGCCACACCGGTTGGAAAGCCCATCGCGACGCCGGTTGGCAAACCTATTGCTACGCCTCCGCCTCGAGTGCCAGCCACTCCTGCGCCTAGACCAAGTGCGACGCCTGTGGTCAAGCCGAAGACTGCGACACCATCACGACCGCCCGCGACACCTGCACGGCATAGTGGGACGCCTACGCCTGGTGGATCGGGGTCGGGTTCGACGCCGATAAACAAGACGAAGTGCAAGGACGTGTTGAGGAACTTGGGGAAGTTGCCAGAGGCGATGATCTTCTTGAGGCCGGTCGATCCACATCTGGATGGATGTCCTACGTACGTAATGTCTCTCCTCCGTGCATAGGAGGGCACTGGTTGCTGACCACGGCGTGCGTCTTATAGGTACTTTGACGAGATCAAGAAACCGATGGACCTGCGCACGATGGACGAGAAGCTGAAGCGAGGCGATTATACCACCATGGAGCAATTCGCGGCCGACATGAACCTGATCTTCACCAATTGCCGCACGTTCAACCCCGTTGGCACGTATCCGACTGAGTGCGCGGATGGGCTCGAACGGGCGTTCAAGAAGGAGTGGGCGAAGGTGACGGAACGCAAGCTGAGTTACCCCGAGAAGAGGAGCTTGCAGGCGCTCATGAACACCATCGTCAAAGAAGACTTGTACGTCTTTCATGCATTCACTACCACGAATGAGGTACTGATACATCGGTGTCGTACAGGTCGTTCGCCTTCCGCGAGCCCGTGGACCCGATCATGCTCGGTATCCCGACGTACTTCGACGTCATCCCGCGCAAAGACGCCCGCGACCTCCGCACGATCCGCACCAAGCTCGAACAAGACAAGTACGAGAGCGTCGCGGCCTGGGAGGCCGACATTGACCTGATGGTCAACAACGCGATCCATTTCAACGGCGCGGACTCGGAGGTCGGAATCCTGGCTATGCAGCTGAAACACCGCGTCGACGATCTGCTTGTGAACTTGCGTTCTGGATCCGGCGGAGGAGCTGGCGCGAGTAAGAAGAGGAAGGAGGGAGGCGTGAATGGGGTCGGGTCGGCCAGTAACAAGAAAGCGAAGTTCGCCTAAGTGGACGGCGATGGGCTTGTGTATGGACTGAAAGTTCGATGCTGTTTTGCTGTGCCATTAGCTGTGCTTTTTCACTGTGTACAAGTACTCTACGAGACGCAATGCGCGTACTAAATCTCGCAAACAGGCGTGTTCATTGTTCTCAGCCGCTCCTATGTGGGAAATTATGCGCGGTATATCTTGTGGGAGTTTGATTGAAGGACACCCTGTTACTGACCTGTGCTACCAGGATTGTCTGCCGATAGACCATATGCGAGCTCGGCCCAGACGATGTACACATAAGCCTGCGGCTATCACCGGCCCGCATCTGACACGCTCTGACTCTAGGTGCTTGTGACGCCGTTCATCAACAACCACCACTGGCATCGCCCCCACCCCCCGGTCCGACCCTATCCGTCGCCATGCAAAGGACCTTGAGATTGCTACCCGCAAAGGATAACAATCTCACACCCAAGGACACCACGATAACAGGGCATCCTGCCCGATGACACCTTCCCTACCCACGTCGGGTTGTGAAGGAGATGACATGATCGAATTGCTCCAGGTTGCTGCCAGCTGCAGGCCCTTCGTTCAGCGCGATGACTGCCTGTCGACTCATGCCAGCGCCGGGCAAAAGATGAAGCCGAATCTGCACAGCCTTAGCAATGACCGTAAGGTGACATCGAACCTTTCATGAGTCCGATGAGTACGACCGCTGTCCGTGTCGCTTCTCTGTAAGTTATGTGGATCCGCGTGGTCTCGTTATGGCGTCCAAGCTTCTCTGTGCGATGATGATGTCTTATCCTTCTGGCAGATAGGCGCTAGACTGCACAGCCTGCCAATCAATGCGTCAACAGCACAACCAACCTTGTCGCCACTCCACGTTCCATTCCCAAGGCGTAGCAGGCTCCTTGGGAACGTACATGACCTGGGACTTAGTGCTCTTATACTACCCGCTCGGTGTTTGGGGTCGCCCAATGCAGGGATACAGAGGCTGCATTAAGTTGAAAGCATCCTCACTACGCCCGAGCGAGGGCGTTACGAGCACAGCGTGAGGGCCCTGAACTTCCCTTATCTCACGTTTGCAAGGGTACGATGTATCACACCCGGTCACTCATCTTCATACAGGCACCAACAGCTACGGGTACATACTACCTTATAGCTCATGTTGCGAATCCTCCCGTGCCCCACGCCTCCTTCCCCAGCTGCATGTAAAGGCTGCCAATATGACTGCGTACCTTACACCGAGCATGTCTAAGACGTCGTACGTGGACATGCCGCTCATACATAGACTTGGCTAATGCTCGACCAGTGACCATTTGTGGGCAGTGACATCTGCTGTGGGGACAGGTCTCAGCTTCCTTGTCCTGGTCGTCATCGCCGTCATGTATGCTCATCGGACATCAAGAGTACACCTCGACCGCGTCAGCTTCCGGCTTATGCTGTACTCCCTGATTGCCAAGTGAGCCATATATCGCTCTCAGATACTCGTTTCTTGACGCGCTCATTAGCATGTTCTTCGGGCTGTTCGGCACCATCTGTGGATATTTCACTGGGCCTAGTCCTGGATGTGCGCTATCCCTCTTCATCCTACAGGTCAGAGCTGCATCGCAGCTACTACTTGACCCACTGACACTGTCTACGTTCTTATAGCTTTCGCTGCAGATATCCAGTTTCCTGCCATTCTGCATCGCTCTCAACCTTCAGTCAGCGGTCTTTCATCACGGATGATCGCAGAAGTTCACGTCTCACAGATTGGTCGTCGTGCATGGCGTGAGATGGAAACATCTTGAGAAGTACTACGCTGCGTGTTCGGTTGTCATGGCCTTGGCTATCACAATCCCACCGTATGCTGCTGGACAGTATGGGTGCGTCTTCGCCGACTTGATACGATCGGAGTAGATGTTTCTGACACTGAAGTACAGCTGGGACCCGCTAGAGCTTCAGTGTTGGTACACCAATCACGTCCGGCAGCAACGCATTGCGTGGCAGATCGGAGCGCAACTCATCTGGACGGGCCTGACCGTAATAGGAGAGGTTTCGACTGCGTGCATGGTTGTCACCTACATGTTCCGGGCCCATGTATGTCTCTTTGCCAGACTACATCTTACACCCGTTAACGTATTGCGGGCTCAGTTGCGCCGCAAGCGTGTGCTCTCAGTTGCGAACTCGTCAATGTCTTCGGTATCTGGGTACTACCGTCACAAGACCCGCTCTCAAGCCGTATCAAGCGATAACTCGCTCAAGCCCATGGCATTCCATGCCAATACATATGCGAACGTGATCTTCCGCATTGGTGCGTCTTCCCGAGCCGCCCAGGAACGGCTATTGACTAACCCTCTATAGCGCTATACCCCTTAGTCTCTTTCATCATCAACTTGACAAGCATCGGCACGGTCATACATTCTACGTCAACAAATGGCATCCAGAACGCTAATGTGCGTATAACTGGCATCATACTCCGCGTATCAGATACCCTAACCCTTCTCCAGGATTATCGCATATTGCTGCTCAGCGACTTTCTGTATGGCGGCCGAGCTATAGTGTACGCTCTACTTGCTGCTACTGATTTGGTACGACAATTCTCACTTCTTTCTACCTGGACATGGTCTAATACTTTCACGTTGTGTACTAGTCATTACTTCGTGCAGTCCGTGCTTTTGTCGCGCACCTTCGAGGATGCAAGTGGGGCAGCACTGCTACTATCCGATCGAATACGTTCACCGGCACATCTCGAACGCGTCGCGACGACCTCGTCGTCCAAGTTGAGCTATCGACGGTCGTGGCACGCGACGCCGCCAATGGCGGTTCAAGTGCTTCAGACTCGGCAACCGACAGCAAAGAGCGGAATCTCACGGCCACTCGGGAAGCTTCCAGTCTAGTATCTGCCGACGGCGAGGCTGTAGACAAGGCTGAGCGAGGGATTCTTGTCTGCGTTGACCCTAGTCTGAATACAGATAACCCACCTCTGATGCCACCGAGAGCTATAGCGTTCGAGCTCAGCTCTCCGATAACGCGAACGCAGAGCATGCGACATAGATGGGAGCAAGCAGCTCGAGAGCAAGCCCAGGAGGACGAGTTCATGAGGATCATTTAATTGGAATGTCCGATTCGATATCATATCTCTCATTCACATGTAGTATCCCATCTCATGCACTGGCTTTTCGGTTGTCCTTATTTCTCACAGAATGTATATAGGATGAGGTGAATGCGGCGCCGAACTGCATATGCTGTTGAAACGCACTCCCTACCAGAGGTCATACATCATGTCAAATAGAAGGGATCAAGGATACAAGTATGCGAAAGAGTGATAGAAGCTGAGCCAGCTTCTATGAGTCTATAGGCAGGCTGTATGCTACCTAAGGTCAAGCCAGCTTTCCCCGACTTCATGTGGTCTATCCTTCTTCAGTCTCCCTCGTCTGGCTTGTACTGGGGCGTGCCTTCCCTTAGGCTCGGGCGGCACCCGTGGCGGTAGCGGTCGCGCAAGGACATACGCAGGTCCCTCAACGCGTATCGTAACCTTCGTATGTCCAATTCTATGGTGTTCGATCTTGGGTCGTGCTGGCGGTGGAGGTCTGACAGGCGAGGGAAGCGGTATTGGCTCAGGCGGTGGTGGTTGCACTCGTGTTCTGACACGGGGTGGTTCCGGAGTCAGCGGTCTCAGTGGCCGGATGTTGGGAGAGAAGGACGAAAGAGTGTGAGGTCGTGCGATCGTAGGAGGCTCTGGTGGCAGTCTCGACGAAGACGCGACAGCGTTCGGCCATCTAGACCGGGGCGTGCTCTGCACGCCTCTTGATGGCGTCGGTACAGACATGGGCGGCTCCCGCGCAAGCTGCCTATCCGTGGCGATCCGCGCATCGCAAGACTGCGTTCCTGTGCGTGCGCCTCCTGAGACCTTGCGATCTGCGAAGAAGCATGAGCTGAAGAGGAAAGGCATGGTGATGGATCTCCAGCAAACCTCAAGGACAAGGCCATCGAGACATATAAGGGTTTCCCTTTGAGCGAACCACAGCTACGATGTTCGGATGGAGCGGATACAAAGTCATGGACAATTCGGGAGCCTTGTGGTTGGAGAACAAAGCAACCACTATCACGAACCTGCGCAGTAGCCTGGTGGTTCTTGTTCAACTACCCTGACGTACGTCGTTCTGGCGCGCGCGATCTGTGCCGGGCCTGACAATGTATGGCAAGGGGAGGGAAAGGGCGCTGAGGGTGTGACCGACATCCAGAGTATTCTTGATCAATGACCGTGATTCACCTCCAGATATATGGGACACAATAGCCTGAATGAAGTTATTGAGAACTAATGCATCAGCATATAGCCATTTGTCCAGACAAGCAAACTACATGAGTGTGTTGTAATACAGTACGCCGCGGGTCCCCTCAAGGAGTATACTTCGGCAAGCCTCCAGGTCGAGTCCCTGGCAAAGGCCAACGCTTGTTCAGGGCATCTTCAGTTCTCCCACTGAACAAGCCAAGCTGCGCGACCCTACGCGCAACCTCTGATCGCGGACGAAGGGTCTTTGCGGTCATAGCACAGGTCCAGCTGAACATCCACACCGCGATCATGAGCAACAGGACCAGAAAGCAGCACGTAACGATATCGACAGCGCCGCGGTTGTAATCGTACGTTTTGCCGGGTTTGAGCGATTGGTGGGCGTCTTTCAGAAGGAACTTCATCATGGTCGGGATGATGACGAACATGGCGATGTCAAGGATGAAGATGAGTGCGAAGGTTCCCAGACGCCAGCGGCGGTGTTCCCGACACCGCGCACACGGCGAGTCTGATCCAAAACAGTAGCATGGAGGATCGCGGCGATTACGAAGGGTGGCGTCGAGCGGCACGAGAACGACGTTATTCGAGCGCATCTTAATAGACGTCACGGAAGTTAAGCTACGGGCTCTATCAACGGAGAGTGAAGACCTTGAGATCAGTAAGAACTCACGAAATGAAGGAGTGTGAAGGTATATGGGCAGCATCGCTCATCTTCCCCGCACTTTATGGGCGACATGGGGCAACCACCGCAAGGTTCAACCTCATAACCACTCAAGTTCTGGACGGCACGTGTGGTGACGAAGAGGCCCATTGTAGGAAGGTGGCATGAACGAACGTCAGTACACGGCGTTGGCCGCGGATTATATTCACAAAGAGACAAAGGTCGTATATTGTCAATGCGCCTGGCGTAGTACATCTGTTCGCTACCGCTATCTTTTTCTTCGTCGTCGTCGGAACTGCGTCTGCTTTCGTTCATCAAAGCGCTGCTTCCTCCAGAGCTTCTTCGGCTTTGAGATACTCTTCATCGCTCGAAAGCTCCGGGTGCTTCTTCGCGAGAACCTGAGGGAAACGTATCAACGACGTATGTCCAAGCACAAAAAGGCCCACCCACCACAAGGTCGCGCAGTTCCCCGACCGCACGCGCCATCCTCTCGGACGAGTCGGTCACCATCTTCTCCGACTCGGCGACGAGGAGACCCTACAAAAGAACGAGAAAGCCAAGATCAGCATCGGTATCGCAGACGTAAGTGGAGATCGATAATCCAAAAGCGAATGGAGAATCAGGTAAGGAGAAGGATAGAAGGAGAAAGACGCACGGCGTTCTTGACGTCCCACTCCTCCGCGCCATCGGCGCGCAGCTTCTCGAGCCTGATCTGGTTCTGCTCGACCTCTTTGCGGTACATCCCGACCTCCTTCATCAGCCTTTGTGCGCGGGAATGTTATGCCTCAGCCTCAGATGTGCCCGTCTCCCGGCGAGCGAGATGCGCCGCACCGCTTGGCCACGCCGGCTTTGATCTTCAGTTGCTTGCGCGTCTTCTCGACCTCCGACATATTTGGGAATAGTACAGGCTAAAGCGAGAGATATGAAAGTGTGAAGGCGGAAGAACGAGATGAGCGCAGAAGGCAAGGGCCAACTCTGATACAGAGGCCGCCGCAGGAGAGATAGCGCGGGGAATGACGAGCGCCGACGCGAGTGGCGAAGCGGCGAAGGTTGGTTCGAAGTTTGAAGCAAGATCTCCCGCGTTACGCCATGCCGTAGCAGCTTCTCCGGGCCACCCTATATACAAACCGTTGAATACCATTTTTGATAAGTAGCAACGAGGCTCCGGGCTTTCTGATCACACAAGACGAGTTGTTTCCAAGAATGCGATGGCATTGTAGGAACGAGCAGGGCATACAGGGCATAACGGACATATGGGGGCATGGCGGAGATTGGCAGTATGAACCAGGAGACTACAACGCGTACGAAACAACAAACAGTCGTGACACAAGAATTACATCGATGAGACAGGCAAGCGAGTATGAGCAGTGCAAACGGCTAGGGCGCCCCAGCGTACCCGACTGGCAGGTGCGAGACGCCCACAACTGTACCTCGAGCCTCGCATGGCGAGGCGAAGCAACTTGGCCGCGGCCGCTCGTCGCGAGCGACATCTCCGTGGTGTACGTCGAGTGAAGCGAGTGCGCGATGGGTGTGCGCGAGTGCTCGAACTGCGTGTCGCCGCCGGCCCAGCCCGTCCGTGGCCCGCTCGGGAACACGGCGGCATCGCGCCGCAGGCGATGATCAGGCGCCGGCGACGAGGTGCGAGACGTTGGGGTAAGTGCGAAAGCAGATGCGAGATGCAAGTGTATGGCGGGTGGGGAATGGGGGTCGTGCGAGCATAAATCAAGATAAGTAATGCACGGGACCGGCGCGGAGGGCGGACGTGTCGAGGAACAACCGGGCAGGGGTGTTGAGTCGTCGCACTAGAGCGGGTAGCGGTGCGTGAGCCTGTGTATCGGCGCGCACAAGGCGCTGACGGAGGTGGCCGTACAGACATGGTGTACGCGATCTGTGCAGAGTATACCGCGGTGATTCGCGCGTATGGCGCGCTTCTCAAACCGCAGTTTCTGCGACGACGATGGCGGACACCGTTGTCTGCCGGGGACCGTCTTCACGTGCACAGCGCTGGTGCAGCAAGAGTGCGAACGAAGGCGTAAGGGCCGTACGTCGATGGAGCCGCTCGACTGGCGGGTGGCGGTAGAAGACCGTACGAAGGCCGCTGGCCTCGGGAGCGAACCCTTGCGAGAGGTGGTGAAAGAATGTGTTCGTGCGTCGCGGATGCACGATGCCGCGGTCGTGGCGTGTCGTCCAAGCCCTGCCCACGGTAAGGCGCCGGGAACAAGTGTGTGTGGGGGTCGTGAGGGATATCCGAAACTAGGAGTGATACAGTAATGTGATGCGGGAAGTCCATGTTGCGGTGCTAACAGAAAAGATGCGTGGGCCTGCGTCCTGGCAGGATGTACAGTTTCATCGATCATCGGGGTCGTGAATAAGTTTTCGTGAAAAGCGAGACTGAGCGCCTGAGATCAGAACGCGCCAGTCTGCTGCTGCTTAAGAAGCGCTTGTCGTTGCTCAGCGGTGTTGAACATAAGCCTCTCGTTGAGCCTGAAAGAGATAGATCAGTGATCTATTCCGATATGATGCGTAGAAGCAGCGCCACTTACTTGCGCAGACGTTGTGTCTCTTCCTCGGCCTGCTGGAGGCGAGTCTGGAGCTGCGTGTGCGACATTTCGAGGTAGCGAATATGTGTTGTCGCCCGGTCGAGAAGCGCGACCTTGCTCGACTTCTGGTTCGACACCGGGAGCACGTCCTTGAGCCGGCGGTAACCATCCCGAAGCTCGTCGCGGCGACGCTGCTCCGACTCGATGCGCTGACGGCGAACCTCTTCGCGACGGTTCATGGGACCACCCGAGCTAGAAAAGGGAGAAAACTCTCAGGACACGTCTATGTGACGGGCTAAATTCAGGGAACATACACATTGACGCCCGTCTGGGGAGCTATCGGGGCGTAGTCGTCATCGTCATCAGAGAAGTCGTCGGAAGACTTGGTCTTGCGACGGCGGACTGTGGGACGAGATGCGGAGGCCATCGGGTCGAACCGGTGAGCTGCGCGCGGGATCATCGACGGCGAGGGGTGCGAGCTGGACGAGTTGCGAGAGGTGCGACCCGACTGGTCCGACTCGGCGCCGCTCATGTTTGCCGCGAGTGCGCCGGGGAAGATGCTAGCGTTACTCGGCGGGGTGTACGGGCGGGCGGGCGGAGACGACGTGTACGAGGCGGGGCCATAGGTGTACTCGGTCATCGGGCCGGTCAAGTTGAGCCCGTAGCCCATGCTAGGGGACGAAGCTGAAGATTGAGGTGATTAGAGGTGATCTGCGGTGGCCAAAAAGGAAGTGTGCGTACTGGGCATGCCGTACGGTTCGCCGGCGTAGTGCATGATGTCGATGCCCGAGAGTGGGTCGAAGGAGAAGCCGGCGGTGGAGGGATCGATGTAAGACTCGGGGCTCTTACGCTCGTCGAGGAGGTGGAGGTTGTCAAGGGCAAGGGACATGGTGAGCGAAGATGACGTTCCAGACGTGAGCTCAAGCGTGACAAAGCGGTTCGGGGGGTGCAGCAGCTGAGGCGAAAACAACACAAGTTTATAAGAGCCCGGAGAACAACAAGGAGTAGGACGCTAGAGGAAGTGTTTATTCAACCCGGTCAGAGTGTGAGAGCGACGCCAAGAAATGAAAGAAGCGGACCTGGTGCTACACAACAAGGGATCGCGGTAGTTGTGCGAGCGACGCAACGGTAGCGACCACGGAGGACGGAGACGGAGGGGAAGCGGACGGAAGAAGCAGGGAAAGCCTCTGGAGAGGGTTGGGAGATCAGGTCTGCGGGAGGAATAGGTCTTATACCGTCGGCGAGCCGGTAGAGGCCTCGAGGCTTGATCGTACCGCTTCCATCCAGAACTCAGCAATTACGGCCCGGGACCTCGGCTGGCGCTTCCTGGCGCGCCAGTACCCGTCTGAGCGCCCCTTGTCCGTATAGCCCGCGCCCGAAAGAGGTCCCTGAGCCGTTCAAACCTTTCTCTCTGCAAATAAGCTCTTCCCCGTACCCGCGGCACTTTCAGAGCAAGCCCTGCGCTAGATACAGTCCATGTAATTCAAGCTCACTCTTCGCCGAGTCGCGGCGATGTTGTTCCAAGCGCTCATGACGGTCCGGAGCAAGTAGTGTACGACATCGATACGCGTAAACAAGCTTCCACAACGATCAACCTCTTGCCGGAACCATTTCTGCCTCCGCTGTGCAGAGCAGGAGGTTAACGGGAAGATCGGTCGATGGCTGGCAGGTGGCCGAAGGATACAGATGTAGGTCCCGACCTCACTCGTGCGATGAGCGCCGCCCGACACCCGCGCTCGTACACTCTCGCGGTGAAGCGCGGAGGCGTCGCTGAGTGCTCTCGGACTTTCTCCGCTCCCGATGGTATCGGTCAGGCTCATCCTCTCGGACGCTCTCACAATTCCAAATCGTAAAGTAGTCTCCTCCCAGACGTCCTTCAGTCCCTCGTGGATGCGATTGCATCAAGCTGAAATGCGCTCACGAGGCGTTCATCTCGTCTCTGTCACGCACTACATTTACTTCTTTCTCCTCACAGGCTCCGCCGCAGAATGGACGCTGCTTCTATTATGCTCATCGCGCGCTCATCCGGCTTGAACCCGAAGACCCCTGTCCTCCGCCACTTGCGACACTGAGGGCATCTCAGATAATTCAGCCACTTGCGCGTTTGCTGTACACTAGATGCGCTCAGATCGAGGGCGTCCGCCTAGTGTATTAGCGCACTGATATACGGATGTGGGAACGCTTCGCATGGTCGGCTTCGGCTGCGGAAAAATCCGCCGCCCGGAGCGGGTACAGATCTGTCCGGGCCATCCATCTTGACAGTCATATCCACAAAGCGATTCAGGTCTTCAAGTTGCCGTTCGGGTTCTGGCCGAAATTAAGCAGGTCGAATGATGCATTACAGCAGCGGTCGCGGTGGCACGGAGCCAAAGCGCCGCACACCGATGGCCGCACCAGGATAGCGCACAACAAAGAGGACTACAGTCGCGGGAAGCACGTCGTGGTTTGGGGGTCGTAATTCGTGAGGAGTTCGTCAATGGTGGGGGTTCGTCAATGTGTGAGAGACAGGCGAAGTCAGGGAAAGCAGTCCGTTCGGAGCACGGGATGTGGGGAAGTTGGGGTTGTGCGGAAGCAGACAGGAGCACGGAACGGCCAGAAGGCGCCTAAGCGTTGTAGTAACCTAGGTTCGCGAGTTCATTAAGCAGCACTTTTGTCAAAAACGGGATGGCACGGACCTCCATAGAACGGCCCTTTCATACTTGAGTAGTGCTCCAGTCGCTTGGAGAATCTCCAGTTCAGAAAGGCGGAGTACAACTGTGAAAATATCGGTGAGACGGGTTGGGCCAGTTGCAGTAGACCTTACCTGGAAGACAAGATCGATCAGAAGAGAGATGATGAATAGTGCTCTCAATGTTGAGAAGCCTGAGGTGCAGAAGGCGCTCGGTAGAGTGGATGTCGACGTGGACGTTGTGAAATCTGACGTCGTCGAATTATACTGTACGCCTCCATTATTGCACTCCCATTCAATCCCAGTCTCATCACGGTCGAGTTCGACGATCATGATGATACAGCGCACAGCCGAGACGACGATCAAGATTGGCCACAAAAACTTGCAGACTCGGGTCCAGATGTATGATTTCTGCGTCCCGGCTCATGTTAGAGGCCTGTATGAACGAGATGCGCCACAGCCAACGTACGTTGGATAGCGCGAGGCAGTTGACCAGCGCCACTGCTGCAACGGCCATGCCGATGCCACCGTATATAAACCTGCATACAGGTCGTCAGCTAGTACGCAAGGGGAGAACTATGATATCTTACCACTCCGGGTAGAAGAAGAACCAGTAGCTGCCGTACAGAAATAATATTATGGAGCCAGCAATGCTGTATGCCTGAATGGACTGTAAGCCGCATGATCATGGGCACTCAGTTAAGCACACACCGCGATGATCACGTTCCAAGCAATTGCCCCAGCACGCTGCATATTTGTATTAGCATGATTATCGCGATGAGCCTATGCGAACTCGGAGCGAAGTACGTACGAGAGGCAGCACCAGCAAGCAGTTATCACACCTGCGCATTCATGACTATGTCAGCTACGTTGTATCAACGAACGACGTCAGTTGAGCCGTACCACATGTTATCAAAATAACTCGGCGAGTTTCGAGGCGGCTTCGGAGTCTTGGGAGGGCTTGCGGTATGTACAAATGGAAAGGAGAGGCCAAAAAGAAAGGAAAAGATCGTCAGTCAAGGCGCGAGGGCCCGTGCGCACGTCGTCGTCGTCGTTGGGGAAGAGAAGCTCGCCGAATGCAGCTTTCCCCGCCTGCGCTGTACTGCCGCCGCCCACACCACACGTGCGAACCGACGTCAATGCAGGGGCCGTGCCATTCGCACCTTGCTTTTCTCCGTTTATTCGTCGTCGCGCAAATGTCTATGCTCCCAATTGACTGACGACGACGGGCAGTTATGTTGCCCGACATGCCTTGTGTGTCCGAAGGCTTCCCCAGACTTTCGGCGTCGATTTCCCCTCGTTCATATCGGAGATCCCTGCAAGTAGACTTCCGTGGTATCTCCCAGATGTTCTTGGACGACTCCATCTCATGATCATCCGTCTCCTCCGAAACCCACGATGCGGCTACTCTGGTCACTAAGCATTTGCTCTACCAAAGGCAACCTCGGAAGTTCTGGTGAAAGAGGCGCCCTGAATCGGTCCCGGGCCTGGTGGACCGGCCCGCAGCATACGTTGTACGACTCGGGGGAAGCGTCCCAGGGCCTTCCGCACAGCGTAGCGCTTCCACGAACCTCTTGCCGCCAGACTTGGGCTTCTCAAGCCCTGGCGCTCCGGTGAAGTATCCTTCAAAAGAAACGCAGCACAGGATGTCAAGTAGCGATGGTACAGTCGCGAAACCCAATCATGTGTTCAGATACTGTAATTGAGCGTTTGATTCACATTCACGGTTGGCCAGCGCGCTCGCCACTCGTCGAGCTTTCCGCTAGCAATGCCGTAAAGACGTAGAACGACGCTATCACCGGCCCTTCTCGCGCTATCGCCCATCCATTCCTACCTTCGCCGGACTCATCTTCCACAGACTGCTAGGCGTGACCAAGTATCTTGAGTATCCGAGCGCCTTAACTTGAACCCTTTGACGATCTGACTCTCTGCCCGGACTTTTCATCATTCGTAGACCTTTCCGACCGCCTTTCTATGAATCTGCGTAGACCCCCGGCATTGGCTAGGATCCGCTTCCTATGTTCTCCTTCCCAAGCAGGACCTTTGCGCCGTATGATCACGAATCTACGATCCTCTATCAGGCTCCCTTAGCCCACTTCATCCCGTATAAGCGCCAGCGCCATCGGGGGCTGCGCGCGACTTTAGCAATCAGTGTCGGACAGCTGACAGTTCTCATCCTGAGAGTGCCATAGATGGCGGTTCTGGGCCTCCCTCTCCCCTCATCATGCGCCTCACTGGCCCACCATCTCCTGCTCCGATGGAACGTAGCGCTTCCTGCCTTTCAAGTCCACTTCATAGAACCCGGACACTGGTAAAGCGCTCACGGTGGCAGAAAGTTTGCCCTCACAAGCCTGCGGCAGTGATGAACCCTGACGAATCTTCGGCTGAGTCTCCTCCGCCACTGGTAGAAGCTCGCCCGAACTCACATTCCTGTAGAACCCTCCTAAGATAATCGACCTTCTGCTCAAAAACCGATGATACTTCGCCCATATCATTGCACATTCATAACAACTATTAGAGTCTCAGGTCAGGTATCTTCCTCTGAGGCGATCCCGGCCGCGAGTCTGCTGCCTCGAGCGGAAACTTCTCAATAGCAAGATGCCTGAAGTGGCCGCCGATCATCCGAGCTGCGCCCCTCACCCGGGTGGGCGCCTCTGCCTCCTCCGACCCAGCACGTAGGGACCGCGGACCGTCTTGCCCATCTCCACCCTCCACCCTCCGCCCTTCGAACGTTCGAACGTTCTGAAGTAGAACTGTACCTGCCGTAAGGCCAGCGGCGATGCGAGGCTCGATGCATTGCCTTTCAAGCTTCGTCTTCGCATATCGATCTATGTGCGCCTGGTCGTACCTTCTTTGCGCCACCGTCTACAGGCTTCTATACAACCCAGTCCAACGTCCATACCCTACAGTCCCTATATTCGATTGCTTCTGCCGCTACAAAACTCCGATAGACGCCACAACTCTCCGCTGGATGCCATCACTGCTGCAAGCTTCAATGAAGAGCTTTCCACGAGCCCACAATCTACCGGTTCACGAGGTGCATCGATTGTTGAGGGCCGTCGGGACATCACTTGTGTGTACCTGCCGCTTCTGACGGAACTGCTCAACTTTGTGTGCAGGTCTTTCGACGTATCGTGCTTCATTTTCGGAGCTGCGCCCGCATTTTTGCGCCCCTCTGTACGCCCTTGGGCGGCGCACGAGGTCGGGCCGCGTGTAGATGAAAGAAAAAGGGGGCGCTGATGCCTGTCCCTCGATGGCAGATCTCGACTTGGCCGCTGCATCGACTAGCCGAGGGGCGGTGCAGATGTTGTGGACTTGGTTGTGAGGAAGGGGCGAGGCGCACTAGGTGTCGGGTCATCGAGCGGTGAAGTTACAACCGCGGTCCACACCGGTTCCACACCTTCATACTTCCCTATCAGTTGTATCCAAGAGCATGCCCACTTCAAGTCAGCAGCTTCGATAGAAGCATCTAATGGTACATGGATCTACTGGACCCTATGGCAAGCGCCAGTAGCCCGTCAATGCTCATTCATTGTCCGTAATACCCCAACCCAAGAGACTGGCAGAGCCGCAGCCTGCAACATGCGCCGCCGATCGCACGTACGTAGACTAGGTTTTGCAGCCTTCAATCATCACCGCAGCAAGCGTGAACACATGTTCTATGACCTTGAAAGCTGATATGATAGTGCTGTGTCGATGTCGGTGAAGTCGGTGGCAGAGCAGCGAGCAAACAGTCTTCAATGACGGTTGTGGTGTAGATCGTGATTCCACCGACTCAGCATCGGTGAAGTGCACCTCGTGCAGGTGCGACAAGTACTGGAAGGTCTATACGCGTTACAAGGCCTGTGATACTTACCCTCCAATCGACCACAACTCTAAAAGCAGCAGCTCAATGCGCATGCTAATAAGGCCGCTACGGCGACAGACGGTAACTTGCCAACTCGACTTGGGACTTGACGGCCTCTTCTGCACATCGTCACGTAGATCCGCTTCTAGCTTCAGCACAGCTTCAGAGATCTAGGCCATTGTACGTACAAAGCCTGCCCGTTGAAGCACCTGCGAATCTTCTGTGGCCCGGAGGTCGAGGCGCCCGACACCGTGCATCAATATCGCCGCGTGGATGCCTCGTGTGGGCCGCGTGCATCAGAGCCTCGTGTGTGGATCAGATGTTGGCCCAGGCTACTGTCATAATGATACTATCCACGGCCAACGTAGACTTCATGCGGCCTGTATCTAAGTACGACGTAGACCTACGTGGACGTCAAGAACAACGCACAGGGCGGCACATGAGGAATAGGTCAGTCGCGTATCTGGATCAGCAACAAGATCCCACGCACTGGCGCAGGTTACAGGCTCGATTGAGTTGAGGTACTACCCCAAACTCGCAGCTACCAGGACTGCTCAGATATATCATTCATACACTCACAGAAGAGGACGAGAAAGCATCATGCTTCGACGTCATTCTAAGGATCGAATATCTACAACACAGTCCTCTGAGCGCAGGACTCATCCGCGGCACTACCGCTGCCCGCATGCCACTCGTCACCCTGCCAATCTAAGCACATTCTGGCCCTTCAAGCGCGGCAGAAAACCAAAACCTGGGACTACTCAGGTTCACGCAGTAGTCGTCACCAGTATATCTTGCTTCTTTGCGTTGCAGCGCTTCTTTGACCGCGTGCGCATTCCAGATCTAAGCCATTGATTCCATCCCAAGTCGTGCCCTCCATCTGGAGTGGTATCCCTACAGCGGACTCTTGTTCTGGTAAGCCTTTCATGCGGCTACGGTGCGCAGTGAGGCGGGTCATCGCGCCCTTGAATAAGGGCGCATTTCCTGGGCCGTGAGTCGAGAGCGCGAACACGTGTATACAACGAGGCAGCCTGTAAACTCCCGGTCTTGCGATCGCTGATTTCGGGCTGCACGGCGAAGAGATATAGGTCAGTAGTATGAGAGAGCCGAAGAACATATAGTGAACTAGCACGTACGCTTAGCACACAGAGCAGATGCGATGAACGTTCACCAAGGTTGGACCCGATGGAGGAATAAGAGATGTACATTCAGTCTCACCAAGAGAAAACACAGATATCTACAAAACTACAGGAAGCCAGACGAACACGCAGTGATCAGGTAATGCGATAGTAAGGCGCGAGTCAAGGAACATGAGATGGTAGGACAAGCAGGTCAAGCGGGGCATTGCGGCTGGCGCAGGGGGCGTACGTATCGCAGGGGGTCGTGAGTAAGCGTGAACAGTCCGTAGAGGGTCGTGGAGATCAGCGCGCGGATGACGATGGAGGATAGTTGTGAATGTGCAGATAGCCGGAGAGGGTAATAGGAGATGTGGTGGGATATAGGTATCGGAAGACCGCGCGCAGGATATCAAGACGTGTGAAGGTTCGTTAGGTGTGGAGCGTAAGGAATTCGCTTGAGTGCAGAAACGCGTCACCAGGACGCGCTCGCTTGGAGTATAGGGACGACCTCAACGTCGAGGAAAGGGGCGCGATCGACGACGGGCTATGCCGCGTGTGATCATCCCATCAACACCTTCAACCCAAGAGCGCGCCCTTGCTGAGCATACAAGATAGTGGTGACAGTAGTTGTGGCTAAAGAAACATTTGCAGAGAAATAGAGAGGCAGATGGATGCGTAGAACCGGAATTGCGACGGGAACAAGAGCGGTATTGCGGCCACTCAGTATTCGTCCGACGAGGGGCTTGACATTGCCGAGGGCGGCTCTCCAGAGACGCTCGCAAGACCATGGGGTCCGGCTTTGCCAGGGGCGTCAGGAGGGGGTGATAGCGGGCGTGAGTCGAGGCTCATACCCGGCGACTGTCCACCAGGGAGCTTTCCGGAGAAGGCCATCTTCTCGCTTATCTGGCGGAGGGTCTTGACCTCTTCCTCGAGACGTTGGATGTGCTGCGTGAGCGTGTCGTTTTGCTTCTCGAGCTGGACGATATGAGTAGTGGCTGAAATTTCAGATGTAGATCAGGAATAGCACGCTCGTCGCATTAAGGAGTGATGATTTACCGCGCTCGAGCAGATTGACCTTGCTGCTCTTCTGGTTGGACACGGGCAGCACGTCTTTCAAACGCGAGTAGCCGTCGCGTAGCTCGTCGCGACGGCGCTGTTCGGCCTCGATCCGCTGACGGCGCGTCGCCTCCTTGCGGGTGGTGGCGATCGATTCGGCAATGGACACGCCCATCTCTTCGTCTGAGCCGTCAAAGGACCTTCCACGAGAGCGCCTTCCGGACGAGTTTGAGGGCGACGGAGTCGGGTTGTAACGCAGGCTGCGGTGGACGAAGCCGTTGCCGCGGGAGGAACCGACCGAGGAATTTCGCGAGTGGTTCGAGTGATATTCTGCGCCGCTTGTATCGGAGCCGGAGATGGGGGGCGAGAGAGGGCCGTAAGGCGACTGGGGTGGCGGGGATGGGTCGGGATTCGCCGCGCCGCGATAGATGCCATTGTCGAAGGGCGCATGCTCAGGCGCGCCAGACATGAGGTTTAGGTCGCGCGTCCCATACTGCATGTTCGGCGGGAGCATTTGCGCTGCGTTGCAAGAAATCAGCCACGAGTATCTGCACGGAAATTAAATCCACACACGAGGCCCAGAATACGGCGGCATGCCACCACCTGGGTACCCATAAGGGTGCGTGTCGTCCGGAGCGCCATAGTAATATTGCCCTGGCGCCATGCCTGCCGCGCCATGCTGCTCGTCGCCCGTCGGATTCATATTGTAACAATCGTTTTAAAGGAACAAGTCGTCAGTAGAGACTGCCGGTCAGAAGCACCAAGACGGGGCGAGGGCGAAAAAGATATACAGCAAGAAGGCGGACTATAGAGTCGAGGAAGAGTAGGCTCACAATGGCTTGACGCACGATTGACTTCGTTGATCGCGTTCGCACGCTCTGCGGCGTCAACGTGTTTTCTGACCTTTTATCTCTTGAATCTCCGACTCGCCCTTGTTCTCGTTCCGGCCGGCACAATCCTCCTCTATCGATCTCGAGCTACATTCCTACAGTATCCTGTCTGATTATCTTTTGGTAGCTCCATGATTCAGATTCCGCGGCCCTGCCATATGCCATTTTCAGTCGCGCGGATCGCAGGTCACCGAGTTACAGAGACAACTCGATAATATATCGACCACCCTCTCAGCGTCGGCGCAGTCCTCTATATGTACACTATGGTGATTTGATATCATCCTAGCATTGCGCGAGATGCGTTGTAACAGCGATTGAAGGGAGCTGCTGGCTTGCTGCTAGCAAATTGTCGCCCTAGTCTCTGCTCCAGCCGGCGGTGCTATACATTTGACCCCATGCTGAACATGAGATTCGTACGCCTAGACGCCATCAGTAGTGCTGGGAAGTGGCGATTGGAGGCGGAGCATCCTGAAAATCTCAGTCACGCTGGAAAGTACAATATGGCTGCCAGCCTCGACGGTGCTGAATGATGATGAGCCAGGGCATTCGTGGTTCCTTACCGGCTCCATGACCCGTAGTGCCGTTCACATCATTCTATCCAGTCGCTCCTCCACAGGGGTACATGGGATGAAGATCGTCTTGCGAGGTGGGTGAATTCGCACACTTCTTCTTAGTCTGGCCGTTAGATGAGTATTCTAGCGAACAAACAGCTCTTGAACGTTTCAACGTTGACGGCGGATGGTCGATTTTTGAGGAGCCTCCTAGACCAAAATGAGGAGGCTTGAAAAACTCAGCGAATGTTTGCAAGCGAGTAGAGAAGCAGGACTCAGCAATCTTTCCGCACGCGGACAGGCAGTTTTCGTTGCTTCGTGAGTGAAGAAAGGTAGGCTTGCACAGTGCTTGCACCCCGTTACGGAGGCAATATGGGTCTCGACTTGACCTTTTTGTGTTTCAAGCCCGACGATCCATCGGTCTCTCGATCACGGCGAACAGAACACGGGCACGCGCCCGTCAGCCTGCTGGAACGGTTCGACTTGAACTACATATACTAATGGTCGTCAGTGCCCCTCCTGAGTGGCGCTCAATACATCAAGGTCATAGCGAGCTCAAGACATCATGCACAACGCAAGCCGTCAACGAGTCGTCGCGAGTCCTGACGACTTGCGCAAATTGTAGGCTTCTGACAATAGCGGCTGTGCGCGAAGCGCAAGCGCTCACAACCGATCATAATCACGCCCCTTCAGTCGGCACAATCATCGCCCTTTGAGAGCTCTGGAGTCTTATACAGTCGGCTCCGCAAAGACTGTATTGGGACATATTCTCTTTAGTACATTAGGGCGAGGACAAGATGAAGATGATGGAGGTTCAGTCCGACCTGCGACAAAGAATCCAACCGTGTGGCCCGTGAGCGCGGTGATTGCCGACCGGCAAGGCCCGAACTGTATTCGATCGCTGAATTCCTTTCTCTCCTAACAGTCGTGGGCGCTCCGTCAGCGTTCCTAACGTATTGGCCTCGGTTGATACGAACTTTGAGTCAGACGGCAAATCCGATAGTACGCTCTTCCCAGCGACCATTGTTGTACTGGGACCCGTGACGAAGCACCGCCTGGGCTTGTGAAAACGTTCGCCAACCCTTCATCTTGCCGTTGACCCGCATCGGATTCAACTACTCGCTTCTCCTACTTGCTCGCATTGCGTCCTTGCGCAAGATCGTCTTGACTGTTGCACGCTCTCTGCAAGAGCTCATACGCGTTCTGGGTTGCCAAAAGTACGTGTATGCGTCAGCCCACAGGCGCTTCGGTGCCCTTGCGCCACCATGATCCCCTGACTCCCTTACACAGCGGCAGTACATTCCGCTCAGTATCTCTCTGAGACCCCTCCGGCGGCCGCAATAGCCTATCAACTACTGCTTTTGGAGCACCATATTCATGGAACATCCTTTGGAACGATGCTTCCAGCGTATCTTCTTCTGCTCTGACGACTTTGACTATAGTTGCAAATGCTGTTGTTTCCCATGCTGTTGTCGCTGTGCTGCCTCGCAGCACACGAACAGGATCACTGGAGGGGCTTGGGAACCCGCGGATCCCTGGCTCGCTTCGTCAGACATCGGTCGTCCACCGATGGCGTTTATTCGTACACAGCCATTGAAAAGCCCTCCCATGCATGCTTCTCCAGGCGGTGTAATGCCCCGAGCCCATCCCAACTTCGCGTCTTCTTCGCCGGAAGAGCTGCGAATGTCCGCGGATGTAGTGCTGAACCATATCAACCCCGCGTTCGCCGGAAGCCAGAGTCCGCCGTCGCAAGGCGATGTGGCTCGAATGGACCGTGTGTGGGAGAAGTCGAGGTGATGGACACGGACAGCGGGCACTTCGGGATGTACCACAGACTCTCAGGGGGTTCATCCCGCGTTATAGTAAGCTGTTCCTTCACACAAGCCCAGTCGTCATTCACTATGAAATCATGTAGTTATTCGATGTTGTATGAAGGCACACATGACTGGCTCGGTCAGTGAGCTCAGGTCATAGGGTGGGGCTCCTGCTTCCGTTTCTTCTCTAATTTGTCTGGCTCTCCTGGCTTCGTCTCTCACTCATGTACAAAGCGTGAGAGCTATTCATCGCTTGGACGTGACAAATAATGCATCTTGTCCTTTGATAGACAGCTAATCGGACACGACGAGACACAGATTCACATGCATGACCTTTCTCGGTACCACGTTGATGGCACGGTGTTGCTGTCTCGTACCAGGGCTGCCATCTGGCATGTCCGGTTTCTTTGCAAAAGTATGTACTCCCGGCAGCAGCTCGGGTCTGAGCGAAAAAGGATAACTGTCGATTGAATGTAATAGAATCAACATAGTTGATTGAAGCGCCGAACGAGAAGAGTGGACATCTACGAGAGCACAGGGGGTTTTGATCTATTTCGAGGCGCACGTTGATCAGTGTTGGCGGCAATAGATGCATGAGCGTTGCAACGTACGTACGGTGTTGAACGGTCAGGTGTACAGACCGTTTGGTACATTTGCCTTGTCCCTCAAGACGCACCCAGAGTCTGAGTCAAGATTGATGCACGGTCAACCTGAAGCAGCTACCGTTAGCTGATTGCTGTACTATAGAAAGCATAATGGAGTCTACGACGTTCTGTTGCAACGATCCATGACGCCATCGACGTTCCTTCAGAGAGGACGACTGTCGCGTCCAAGATCAGATCACCCTGATGTGGGGAAAGGCAGGGGTCAATCCTCACGACGCCTCGCCATTGCGTTTGTGGCGACGAGATCGAGTTGCGCCGTGATCAACGTAGGGGTGACCACTCAGACATAAAGTGCGAGAAACGGGTGAGAGCGGGAAGTATGCCCCGAGGGGCTGAAGGTGAAGGCTCTGGGATAGAACATCGAACTGCCCATCTCTTATTTATACCGCGTTTGCGATCGGAGCCGGTCACTACCCGCTGGTGATGGCCCATTTTCGATGACAAAGGCTCAGACGAGCACTTCGGATGCGGAGGTGCATGTGGTTTTAATCATGGAAGCTGTCGGACGTGCGACAAGTGCCACTGCAAGTAATCAGTGACCCGCGGCAGCGAGATACATGGGGGCTCAAATGAGCTATCTGCCCAGTTCACGGGACCCGGAGTTAACACATACGTTGACACGCAATCAGGATGAACAGGCTTGGGCCACTTTGCTACGTATCGTGGCTGAGCGGCGCAGGCACCTGATCGTCATCGGCCTCTCGTTTGCAGAGGGTGGGCAGAAGTTCGGGGCAGATCCCGACACGTCGAACAATCAGCCGCCTACAAGTGTTTATACATCGGTAGGTGCATATGACCGACACAGCCTTACCATTGGTTCCGTCAGAAAAGTATCATACACGGTGGTACTCGCTCTGAAGCATCGAAACCCTCGAAATTCGGACCGGGCTCCCAAGGGCACCCGCAATGGGTTGGAGCTGAGGGGGTAAGTTTCCGACTAGGTTGCAAGTCGCCCTTGGGAGACTTTGCAAGCGGTCGATGCTGTTCTAGTAGAAAAGGCAAAAAATGATAATTTCTATTTTATCCCGGTCATGCTTCATTATACACCTCAGTACAACAGCCATATTCTGAAAGGACGGCTTTCTGAAGTCTTTGAGATTTGAATTGAGATTGGTCAGTGAGGGAATTGAACAGACGACTTCACAGGTCGCGGTCCGCGTCTCGTACAGTCCGCGCGCAGTCCGCGCGCACAACGATTCAGCTAACAAGGCTTTATTGGGCTATTACTTAGCCTCAATATATTATTCGATTGGGTTGCCTTCTTTTCATGCCGTGGTGCGTCGTGACCTTTCCTTCGTCTTCGGCGTCGATCGTGTTGCGATATATTTTCCCATCCGGATTGCCTGGACCTTTTTCTCACCCACATCCTTGCTGCTCTCTGAACTGATGAAATCGAGGGATGCTTACGAACCAGTCTCCACCAAGCAGTGCACCGATATTACCTATGAGATAAGAACATATCCAGAACAGGCTATCTATCTAGCCCTTCGAAGCCTGCGAAAAGCACACTTGTCCTGAACAGGGTAGCTTATCATCTCATACAATATAGTCGGAACACTGTAGCAGCAATGCTGGGAACACTTGGCAGATGTATCGGCCCAGATTCAAGCACAACGGGACGAATTCGGGAAGTCTCTAGTCGGCCATAAGTACTCGAAGCCCACATGCAACCGACTTGGGACTCGGGACACGCTTGCAAGTGTGATTCCGTTTTCCTGACGTCGTCGAGTTTACACTCCGACACGATAAGGTAGTGACATCGCGGGCTAGCACCGAGCCTCATACAGGCGAGCCTCCAAACCTACATATAACACGTTTAAGATAGTGCTCAGAGTTGGAGGACATCGATGCGCTATACATCGAGCACAGACGGAGATAATGAGCGCGCAGTATAATCAAGCATATGAGTATGTCGCAGCTCTCTGCGTTGATAGAGAAGACCCTAGGGCAATCAGAATTTGATCCAGAGCACAGTATAGAGCTCACACTGCGGTCGCGCACAAAGCCGGTCCATGGTTCGCGCCGACTACTTATTGGCTTGCCTCACACGCACAGGCCAGAGACGCTCCGGGAGTCAGGGATGCAGCATACGCCGTTAATCTGTCAAGCACGTTAAACGTAGTAGAAGTGGCTCACGAGGTTGAGACTCATACTCTTACAAGCGTCCATTCCGACTGCAGCACGGGTGAAAGTCAATGGAACTACTCCCATTCTCGAGACTGAACGGGATTAGCGATGCCCGTAGCGATCGTAATGGCTAGAAAGGTATGGCACTTTGCGTCGTGGGAGCCAAGCCGACGTCGATGCAATTACGAAGCTGAAGACGAACAGAGTCCGCTCCTGGCGAGGCGTGCGCAAGCTACATTCTTATGCCTTTGGAGACCCCGCAATGCCCTACGCAATGCTTTGCTGCTGATAGTACTGAATAAAGCACCGAACTCATCAAGCCCTATCGGGAAACGAGCCGAACATGTATGTACCCGAAGGCGCAGGCGGTACATTATGAGCATGATAGGCCGCAGAACGCAGGAGCGGGTCCAGTGTCGTCTGGAGGAGGCGTCATCGGTTTTAGATATGTGAACGTGATGACCGTCGAGAGCAACCCACGCGACGACGCGGCCGTCGGAATGCAGTCGCGGTGAAACTCTGCGCGGGCGCATTTGAGGCCGTATTCCGCATAGTGGGTTTACTCATGTCGGCTTACTCATAGGCTCATATAGGAGAGGGAAATGTTAAGAACGTGATAGTTGACGAAAGCAAGAATGCCGTGAAACCAACAAGGAGGAGGGTGAAACGACAAAACGGCGATATAAACAGGGAGCAGATCTAGCAGCGCGAATAATGTGACCGACAGGTGTAGCTAGTACTTGGAGCATAATAAGATGGTGAGTAGATAAGAAAACAGAATATGAGCATCCGGTACACTCAAAGTACAATGTCGCGCCCAGGGGCCTAGAGTTAGGTCTGGTGGTCGAGTTCATGATATGGGTAAGACAAGCTCGGCGTCTTGCCATGCCCTCCCTGACCGGGACTGGCCTCCACGATCTCGAAGGGTTCATCAACCGCAGCCGTGGGTGTTGTGATAGGCGGTGGACTAGCACGCGAGCTGCTCTCGCTCGAGCGATACTGTTCCGGCAACATCGGGCTGGGCGGCAACGCCTCTGTAGCCGTGCTCGCTCGCGAGCCACGGACAAGGTCAATCATGCTGGGTCGCCGTTTACGCTCCTTGCCGTTTGCGTTCGTGGAAGCGACTCCATTCGAGGCATTGTTCTCTTCGAGACTTGGACGGCCATTGCCAGCACCCCAACCCTTCAAGATGCTTTTGCGTGCGGGAGGCTCAGTGCTCGGCGGTCGAGACGTCGTGGCCTGTGGGGGCGGTGGCGTCGGCGAAGGTGCGGCCGAGCGAGGAGAACCGGCGCGCCGGATGGGGTACGGGCTCTCCTGATCGAAGGTGACCGCACTGATACTGCTCTCCTTCGCACGTCGAGCCGCTTCGGCAGTCGTCATAAATGGCGCATTGGACGAACCAGTGGGTGCACGTAAGGACGGGTGATTTGGTGGCAACATCGCGTTCGTCACGACCTCCTCACTGACGCGCGGCATTGCGGTGGGCATCGGTGGCGCCGGGTTTGCAACGCGGGGGGCCGACTCATGCGAGACGGATGTCTTCCGACTCTTGCGCCAGAGAGTCCTTATTGATTTGACCGGGTTGAGGCTCGCACCCTGCTGATTCGGCGCCGCGAGAGTGGGGGTGACTTTAGCCACAGGAGAGAACTGGTCTTCCGAATCCAAGCTGAACCGACTGCTGAGCTTGCGAGGGCCGTCAAGCGATCCGATGGAGTCCGTGCGGACGTGCACAAGCGTCGCGCCATCGGATGTGCTGCTTCGTACGCTACTTTCGCTCGTCCGTCCAGGCATTGGCGGGGTGGGCTCGGATGGGAAGCGACCAAAGGGATCGGGCGATAAGGGAATGATGGGTGAGTTCAGTGAGCCGTCTGAGCGCCGCAGGGAGGCAGGCATGATGTCTGGGTACCGGGGATCGTGACCTTCATCATGAGCGCGTCGCCGCGCCGCGCTCTCTGCGCTTTCTGGCGCAGGACCGCCGCCGCCGCCAAACGATGCCTTGTACGGGCTTGAAGGGACAGCTGTCGAGATACCATTGATCGCGAACTTTGGCGGCGCTGGGAAGTCGTCTGCGTCGACTGACGGGTCGAGTTCCAATGAATCATCGTTATCGCGCGACGATAGTGCCGAGTATGGAACCGCGGGCCATTTCGGTGGGGAATCAGAACTGCATTTGGGGTATATGGCGTAAGCTATCCCGTACAAATATGTACACAGTAGCCGGGCGGAGACAGCTCTCACTTTGACTGGCTTATGCTACCGACGCTCGAGGCTGAGAGGTATCGTCCATGAGACGCAGTCTGGGGTGATAGTGCGCGAGACCGTGTCAGCGAGGATGGTGATGAGGGGTCGAACGACGGCTCATCTTCATGCTGGAGTCTGCGAGGCGAGAGAGATGCAAGATTCTGGGTGGCAGTTTAGCAAACATTTTACCAGATACGAACAATCATACCTTTTCAAGCTCGTCTAGGCGTGCCTTCATGAGGAACTGGCTACGGCGCTTATCGTATGGGTCATTCTCGTCGTACTGTGTGGAGCACCGTCAGTCAATATCCTTCTCTCGAGCCAGGAGAACGCGTACCTCGACTGAGTCATCAAACTCAAGGCCTAAATCGAGCTCATCGAAGTACACGCCGGTACGCCTGTCCCCGCCATTCATCTTGCGGCGTCGTCTCCTTTCCCTACTCTCTTCGCTTCCGTCATCCTCTTCATCGCTCTCACGGTAAGGGAGTTTGACGCGGCCGCGAGAATCGGCGCTGTTCCCGCTTGGTAGGGGTGAAGGTTCGCCCGACGCGATGAGTGCCTCCGGATTGCTGCGTGATGGCATCGTGAGTGGTGGCGGTGGTCCTCTGCGTCTGCGTCCGCCCTCATCATCCTCGCCGTTCACACGAACAGTGTAGTCCTCGTCTTCATCTGGAGATTCTGAACGTGGTGCATACTCCGGGTCATAATCTCCATCGTTCACATCCCCCTCTTTGGAGACGAGGAAGCGCGGTACAGCGCGACGATCGACAAGCCTTAATCCAATGCGTCCATCGCCATCCTCAGCAGGTGAGCGCTTCTTGAGATTCTGCTTTCGTGAGCGCAACCATGGCGCGTACCAGGTCGCCTTGCGCTTGTCTATGTCAAACTCGACCTTCGCAAGTATAGGGATAAGAGAGGGTGACGAGAGGCCAGGAAGATCCATGGAGTCCGCTCTGGATGACCCTGACGGGAGCGAGGTATCAGGCGTCGACGCCTCTGGATCGCTCTCGGAAGCGGCATTCGTACGCGTCGTGGAAGATGGTGTCGACAGGCTCAATGACGGGGCTGATGGCTTGTTGGTTGCGGTGACGAGGGGGCGGAGCGACGTAAGTGTAGCCGTCGAGGCGGAGGACGGCGGATTGAGACCAAGGCCTATAGGTGTACCCGACCGCGGGGAGAATCCTGCCCCGTCCAGCTCGGTCTTAACTACGCGCGTCCACAGATGTTTCCAGACATCCTCCGTCAACCGCGGCCCGGGTTCCTCTGGCTCCGGACCATCCGGTGTAGGGCTCGGAGCGGGGCTAGCGGTACCGGCAACGAGATATAATATCATGCCTGTCGTATTCGGTAATGCGTATTCCTTCGCAATCGCACCGAGTTGGGCCTGGAAGGAGGGAAGGAAGGGTACAAGGGTCCCGCGTCTGAAGTGTTTGTGGTATCCTGACGCAGACGAAGGTGGCGGTGTGAGCAAGACGTCCTGGTTGGCCGTGTCGTGTGGTAAATGATGCGGGGGTATAACATGCAGAAGGTACTTTGACTGGAAGTTGGAAGCGGTAGACTGGGATGAATGCGTCGTGAAGCGAGAAGCCGCAGAAGTGGAAGGCGTGGGTGAGCGAGTAAAGTCGGATCTCGAAGAATTCATAGATGAAGGGTCTGAAGACGAGTGGCCCATGGGCACTGGGGTCGCAATGCCCAGTGCATTCGCGAGCTTGGCAAGCCTGTGAGGCGGGATGGGTGACCGTGGCCGCGGCCATTGAGGCTGCGGGCCAGATGCAGACGACGGCGACAGCAACCCATCGTCCTGCACTTCCTCAGATACAGACATTATCAGGAGACCAGGTGACGCGGTGACGAGAGGCTCGGAGGGACTATGTTGGTCGTCGATAAGTCATATACCGTCCTTGAACCGACTACGCCAACGATTAGCTTCGGGAATATTTCAATTGAGCCATACACACACACCAGAGTAGGCTAACCCGGGAGTTCGTCGCGTTGGGCTCTGCCGACGGCGTATGCGGACCGACGAGGACGGAAGAGGCAACAAGCGCGACTGCATTCCACTCGTCGGCCAACCGTGGCTCTCAAACTGCCCCGCCATCAATCAATAACTTCCCACCATCGGTTGCTTCTTCCCCTCACCGCGGCCGTCATTTATTACTTTCAAAGCGGCTTACATCGCTCTCCTTGGCCGAGGCCACGTTCACTGCACTTACTGCGCTCAGGCGCCCGTCCGGGCTTCGAGAGTGTCCGCGCCTTCGTTTGACAGGCCGCGTTCTCCCCATTCAGAATCTCAATCGTTGATCGTTGCTATTGAATTGCACAGCGTATGAGCCGACGCCTCTCATTCCGTGCAATGCATTGCCTATCTTATTCCGTCGCTGTGAGCACAACGCTCACATTCTGCGCTTCGCCGTGCAGGTTTTATCCGGAGTCGTCGGGACGCGTTTATTCCCGTTCCGGTACTGCGTGTCTTGATCCGTGCGGACTGGCCGCCGCTCCGATAACCCCGATTCAATTGTGGCCCACTGCCTCCGTCCCGGCCTCACTCCGTATCGACCATAACTGAGCCATGACGCTACGATGTTAAACAGGAGCCAGCGAAGTAGGCGCGGCCGGCCCTCGCACGTTCGCAGGCGAGTGGGCGCCGATGAACGGCAGCGTTCACCTCGTACGCGTGTATAAGCTCCCGAAGAAATACTTCCAGGTGAATGGCAATACGTCCGAGGCTTCTCTTTGTATATAATAACTGACTTGGCGATAGGACCACGTTCAGGTGCATCTCTGCCATCCCACCACTCCTATGTGAGCAAAATCAGCACTGGTATTCCTGATGTACTGATCCTGTTATAGCGCCACATCAATGTCGATGCACCCTTCGAACTGCGATTACTTTCCCGTATCTCCGCCTTGCGTAGAGGAGAAGCATCAGCAGGAATTCGCGTTCTCCCCCTCGCCCGCATCGTGTGCTCCTAATCGAGTTTGGCGCCGTACTCGCATCGTCATCCTCTCGGTGCTCCTCACACTCGCCGGAGTGGCTGGAAACGCCCTGTTCATCGCAACGGGAGTCTCTCTCATCGGCTCCATATTCGGCTATGGAATCCTCGCTGCCGTTCCCAATCCTTGCCGACTCACCGTCCTGAGCCCGGCGGTTGGTCAGAGCGCTTTCGTGGATTGGTGCTCCCTTATTGCCCTTGTCACGACCATAGGCCTTTTCATCGGCACTATCACTTTGGGCGCACTGTCAGGTTGCATATGGGTGACTACGGAGGTCTGGAGTGTGTTGAAGAGCTTGGATGGAGAAGTCGAGGGGCACAACGTTGAAGAAGCCTATCCCGTGGACGAGAAATTAATTCTGGTGTAATAATGTTTTATGCATCACATATCTGTAACATAATTGCTTGCAAGAATTTGCTCATACCCAATTATCAGAATGCGAGTGCACGTGTTCGCAAGTTGAAGCAATTGTGAATCAATGTCGCTCGTGATTTTGTAATGACAATGACAGGAGTGAGCGGCCTCTCGCGTGTTGACCTTGATGCCCTTGCACCCATGTCCCTATTGTGCAACAGCTGTCACCGACAAAGAAACGTACCAACAGTGCTCGCCAGAAGATCCGTGATTTCCATGGTCGAGTGCGCGATACGGATATCTCGGCCGATTTAGACTCACACCAACCCTCACAATGGATATTGACCATCCAAGGCCGTGCAATTATGATACAACTCCCTTGTACATATGATAGATTGGATACGTTGGGAATTCAAGAGACCCTCGGGCTCCGTCGCTAGGGCGCCATGGATTAGAAGCCGTGCTCCGTCGAATCCTTGCCAACGGCTGAAGTGCTCGACGAACCGGAGGAAACCGTGGATAAGATGCGGTCGATATACTCGGCCCCGCTCCTACGGAAGAAATATATCAGTCTGGGGCAGGATGAAAAGGCTGAAATCGCACCATTTCTGGTGGGTGAGCACGTCGCACCCAATCTCGCGTTCCTTGTTTTGGACAAGCTTCACGTAGGACAGCACGCCGTCCGTCCTGAAACTCTGGGCAAGTTCCGCTGTACATGCCCTTCAGCATCATTTTCACGTCGAGAGCACACAGTGCCATACCCATCGATACAGCATTGACGTGAAGACCCGCTAGACTGACAAGTTGGAGCACGAAGCCCTCTTTCGCCAGTTCCCAGATGAAATCCTTCATATCCTGCTCCGTGAAGCCCTCCTTCGCCCAGTTGAAGCTTGGGCTGAGGTTGTATACGAGCCACTTTCCGGGGTGACGCTCGCGAATGGCACGGGCGAAAGAGCGCGCCTGCTCGAGATCCGGACGGCCAGTTTCGAGCCAGAGCATGTCTGCGTATGGGCCGTATTCGATCGCGCGGGCGAGGGCGTGTCCGTTTCCGCCAGTAGTGTGATAGTAACCCTCTCTTGTACGAGGGACTGGCTTATGAGTGAGCTTGGTGCTTTCAGGGCATCAGAAGTAGAAGACGCACGGTCCCAGTCCCAATCCACAGGTGAGCCAAGTATCTGTTGAGCGGTCTCCCGGGCCTCCACAATCGTCTTCCCTACCACAGCCTCCTTATATTGGGCGAAGACAGTGGCCTTGTCAGGGACAATATCCGACTCGCGGATGGCCTTCTCGACGGCTGGAGCATCGCCAGTGAGTAAGAATGCGTATTGGGGACTAATGTCATGTACCTTGGTCGAACGTTAGTAATTCTACACCAGATAACCACTCGGCCTCCAGCTCGTCGATCTCCGGGCCCGTCTTCCCGGCCGCTTCTGCACGGGCGAGTACGTCTGCAAGGGCGAGACGGCGCTCGCCACCGGGCATGCGTGTTGGTACACCCTTGACGAACGGATGATCGCGCGGGTCTACAGTTGACGTCAACAGTCTCCCACTCTCGGCATCAGTCCGGGCGATGAGTAACATCGTGTTCTGGAGCATATCCAGTTGGAAGCGGGCCGCCGTGAACCGTTGTATGTGTGTCGAGGTGGGCACAATGACCTTCCCAGCCAAGTGCCCGCACTTCTTTCCGCCGTGAAGCTGGTCCTCGAAGTGGATTCCTGCTGCACCCTGCACCGACATCAGCTACTCAAGCACTTTGGTGGGACCATGGGACGGACGTACAGCCTCGGCGAAGAGCTTCGTAAGCTTCATTACTGCGGATAGACCGCCATGTCTGCACCATGTTTAGATACATGATAGATGATGATAGAGATATATCCCACCCAGTATCGCCGTCAGCTATGATGGGGCGCAGATAATCCGTATAGGGAAGTTTCGCCCGCGCCTCTGGCGATGCGACCAGGCGCGCATCATATTGCTTTCGGTCATGCAGTTGCTGAGCGCGGAAGAGCCGCTGTACTTGGTTCGGGACGGTAGTGTAGGGGTAATCTCTGTGGCAACCGGGTGAGCCTTATGGAACTCTTCATGATAACCCCAACGCACCCAAAGTCCGGCCCTACTTCATTGTTCGCCGTCGTAAGCAGCGAACTGCACGCCCACCCCGAGACGTAGCAGACTTCCAACCACCGCGCCATCTGCGTCATCTGGACGGGATCGACAGCGCCCAAAGTGTGCACTGGCTTTCCCTCTTTGGCGGCTCGCTCGAACGTGGCATAGAGCTTGTCTGCGAGTAGTGAGGATGGGAGAGGCAGAGGCGGCAGTGAGCCTTGCTTTGACGCGACGTCTGCAGCGGTATAGGGGCGCAGAGTCTTGGAGAAGCGAGGTAAAGCAAAGAACTTCTCGACAGAGGCGATGCGCTCCTCAAAGTGGGCAGCTTCGTCGGAAGGTGAAGGCGAATCAAGCGCGAGAGCACTCGGCGGAGCATAACCGGTAGACATCGGGCGCGCGGCGCCTGCGAGCCTGGATGCCATAGGTAGTGTTCGCGCGCGATACATAGCGTGGAATATAAGTTCTCTGCGAGAACAACGCGCCGTTGATCGACCCGCTTAAGTACCTGGAGGATGCGGGGTAAATCACGCGCCGCGCTCATCGCCCGACATATCCGACGCTCCGGCGGTTGGTTCCCACTCTCTCCAGCCTCCCGCAGTGACGAATATATTTCATGAAAAGCTCAGTGTCCAACAGCGTGTATATGATACAGCACATCTCGCGCCTCTATGGACTCACTTCATCGCCTCAAACGCCGATGCAAGACAGGGATAATTCTCTTCGCCCACTGCTTGCACAACCAAGCGCGCGCGCTCTTCTCTGCCGGCCGGCTCGTCTCTCTCCCTCTCTCTACTACATGAATCATCTCCGACCAGAATTCGCGGACATTCGGATCATCTACACACTGTCTGACTCTGAGCTTCTCCAAAAACGCTGCGCGCTCGATTACCCAGCACACAAGTCCTTCTTGACATGTCCACCAGCCCGGCACCGGCGCAAGTGTATCCCGCACACCCTGTGACGACAACCTTTTCGTTCCCACCACTCTATACTACTACACCTACGATGCCGGTCTCCATCTCACATCGGAAGATAACTGCGTGATAGTCGAGGACCACCGTCTCGACCTCAGCGACGGATGGTTATCATCCAATTGGTGGCAAACTATACCATCCGGTACCGTCCGCGCCAAACCTCAGTCAAATGATGGAGCGGTGCAACTATGGAGGGTGACAACAGCTGCCGAGCCTGGCTGGGAATTTCCTCCTCAGAGTTCAGACCGAGTGAGCCCGCTGGCAAGTTGCACCAGTCAGCAAGCACCTAATCGTGATTAATACCAGTTCTATCCTTTGAAGAAGTTGCATTCTCACTCCCCTTGTATTGGCTCTACTTCCCTCGCGAATCAAAGACACAGAACGCGGATAACCACCAGAGAGCACGAACTCATCCCGGCTACTCATATATCTAGTCACTCGGTGCGAAACGACCTGCCACCAAAAATGCAGATTCTCCTCCGAGCGCGGCCCTTTGAAAGCAAGCACGATGCGATCGAGCGCCGGGCGCAAAGGTGCATACCACGCAGTCGTCTCAACGCCGTTCTCCATCAACTTGCGCACCTGGCGTGCCATGTCAACCGGCCAGTCACTCTTCTCATCATCCAACATAGCCAACGACATACCGCAAGTCATCATGGAGTCGAGTCAAAGGACAGGCATCCTATGAAGGTATTAGCGACAAGGTCAACTGACTGCAGGTAGGTTAGCACTGGCGGGAACGGTGACGGGAAAAAAGTGCAGTCCGGGTGTCCTTACTCCACTCAAATTTTGTGACATTTCCTATCTTTATTATTTTTAGGCAGATATCATTGTATGTTGGTCAGATAGATGCGTAGGCGCCGCGTACCAGAATTACTCTACGCTAGTTGCGACCGAGCAACTGTATGACAGTAAGGCGATGCATGAACGATGGGACTCCCAAAAACCAGCTACACATGTGGCATCTCAGCGACCTTAACGTACTCGTCATGAGAAAGCTGGGACGTGATGCGCACGTTCGCGCCGTGAAAAGTGGCCTAAAGTAGTATGTGCTTCCAACTTGAGAGTGAAGATGTAGAGTGGGGAACGCCCACGAAGCTGCACGCGACGCGCCTGGCGCGCGGGCGAAGACGTGCAAGCCACATGAGCGTGTTGGGTTCGAGGCGCGAACCCGACCTGGCGCGCAGTCAGCCGCGACTTGGACTTGGCGTCCTCGATCCTCCTCATGCCCTCATTGCGAGTCTTCGGTCAAAAAGTCATAGAACATTGCCACATGTCTACGCAATTCGACAACAAGCGGACGACCGATGACGATCCTCGTCGAGATGGGACAATAGCAGCAGTGTTCTCCGCGTTCTATCAAGATAGCCACGGGGCCATCGCGTCCAAACCCGCAGACCCGTTGGGCTTGGCAATCATCTAGACGCCTCCTCCGCGCCGACCGTCGCCTTCTTGGGCTGCTGAGCATGACGACATGATTCTGCGCAAACGCTACTCTAATCTGTACCACCATCATGCCTCCCGCAATCTCCTCTACTACACTATTCGCGTTTGCGACTCTTCTGGTCTTTCTGCCCGGCGCGTTCGCTTTCGGCGCGGGAGACATCCCAGGTTTCAGTTTCTATGAGGGTACGAAATCAACTGATAGCATCTCGATGATCTACGGCTGATTATCCTACGATGAATAGGCAAGGCCTTCCGCCATGGAGACATCGAGGTCTAGCTCTGGTCTGTGGATGCTCGAGCCGTTGCACTGATGCGATCTCCGCAGAACGTACTCGAAGAGCTTGCGACCATTGCCAGCGGCTCCGGTGGCGGCGGAGGTCTTCTCGGCTTTGCGAAGTCGATAATGGATAACGCCGGAGGAAAGAAGTTTAAGAAGGACGACGTCAAGAAAGGTGCGCGCTTCATAACCATAGATCTCAAGAGGCCACTCTCACTAATTCCGTATCCCTAGTGTACTTCGTGAGTTAGGTTAGTATGCTGCGCATGTAGAATGTTGATCTCATACCCCCAAAGGGTAATTGGCTTCGTGATTACTCCCAGGTTCGTGAAAGTTGCCCATCCTTTAGATGACGTCGCTCCAACCACTTTTTATAGGCTATGGACATAGCAGGGCTTAGCAAGCTCTCTGCCGACACCCTTGTTCTCATTGTCAGCGTACTCGGTTTCATGACCTTCGGATTCGCCACCCGTGAATTCGAGGTAACCGCAGATCGCCTTGGGGTGTACCTCCCTGTAGAACACATTGATAACCCCAAGTCAGTACCTCTTCTTGCGAAATCGTTTGGTAGAACTGAATTGTGCTATATAGAGGCTATGCGGAGAAGGAAGGCGACGCTCGCCAGTTCCACCCGAAATTGCGCCCGCCCGTCAACTCAGAGGAGCTTGAGATTGATGAGCGCACTGGCATGAAGGCATGCACATGTTTCATACCTTACCCATTTTTTCTCACCTGCGTGCTTGTAGAACTATATGGCGACCGATGGGCGTGGTTGGGATACATCCACGGCCCACATTCGGCGCACGCTCCTGGCTTGTATCGAACACGGTCGTCGGTCGGGCGGACGAGAGGGCGACGACCTCTACGAGGCATACAGGTTGCTCGGCACAGGCTTGCATACCCTAGAGGATCTGCTCGCGCACAGCAACTGGTGCGAGATCGCTCTTCGCAAGATGGGTCATGAGAATGTGTTCTGCCATGTCGGTGACGAAGGTTAGATACCTGTGTTCATTTTTGGCGTAGCATGGACTGATCCATCACCTGAAGTTCTCATCAATACACCCAACGGCGAAGCTCCGCCCCTCGTCACTGGTTCCTTCGGCAGCGCAGATTTCATGCACTCGGTATGTCTGACGCTTGCGCCCGACAAAAGATCTCCTGACACCGAGACTGGTAGATGATGGGCGAGGCAACCGATCACATCAGGTACTCTTTACCGAACCTTCTGGGATTCAAGCGCTGACATCCCACAGTCAATCGTCCGTGACAGACCTGTCCGCAAAGATGAACGAGGTGCGTTTACCGATGCCGAGCTGCGCTATCCGAGTCTGATCTCTGTTGCACAGGCCAAGAATTCTGATGCCGACTCCCTCGTCAATAACCTGAAGGGTCTCATCTCAAAGCTTCCTCTAGGCGGAGGCGATGAGAAGATGGACGAAGCTGAGGACATCAAGGCCCAGTCCAAGGCTTACGACTTCAACCCCGACGATGTCGCGCCGCCAGAAGTGCAGCAGAACCTCTTGAAGCTCCTGCGTTGGCGCGACGACGTGATGAGAGACATTATCGCCAAGATCGAGATGGTTCCCGGCTTACAAGACCTCGTAGAGAACGTCACAGATGCTCTCAACGCTTGTGAGTATCCTCCTGTCTTGCCCAGCTATTTTCTTACCTTTCCCGCAGATGTGTATTCTATATTGGCCCCTTATCTTGCTGTATGTAGCTCATTACGAAGCTTTTAACACTCGCATTAACCGTTCCTTAGCCTATTCTCAGCCAAGCTACCGATGTACTTGCAGAAGGTAGCAAGGCAGTCATCGATACCGACGATCAGTATGAGGTCTTCAACAACCCTCGTGCATCCGACCCGTCCCACAGTCTTCTTTCTAAGGTAGACCAATTGCGCCATTTTTTACTGTGTATCGCTGGACGTCACCGCAGGATCACTTCGGTCTTATTCTCAACGAGCCCGCTGGGCTGGTCGCAAAGGAGGTTGTCAAGTATACCGTGAACAACATCGTGCAGGCCTGGCAGGAGACCAGCGAGGATCCTGAGCGCGTTCTGGGTGGGTTTCCAATGGTGACGCCCCTTCGTTCAGGTCGTTTACACACCCACAGACACAGTTCTCGAAGCTTTCCACCACCCCTACTACGCTGATGGCCGTTCCCGAATCCAGACTGTGATGTTTGAGACCATTGATCGTTGGCTCAATGACCTCTCTGATCAGGAGCGCGACGACGTCCTGCAGAATCTGACGAAGGTTTGCCCGCTATACGTGAATCCTCCATCACAGCATTCTCAACGTCCGTCGTAGGAGAGTGTGCGCGCGGGTAAGAATAAGCGCGAGGGTAGCGAAGACGAGACGGCTGCTGAGCCCGCCAGCAAGCTTCGTGAGTGGCCCTCAAGTTTCCTGGTTCCTTTCTCTCTGAGCAGTTTCTTCAGAATATGGGTCGGGCGGTCGTCCTCAGGGCCAACAACAGTCTTACGGTGGTCAACAGTCTTACGGTGGTCAACAGTCTTACGGTGGTCAACAGTCGTACGGCGGTCAACAGTCGTACGACAGTCAACCATCTTATGGCGGACAGCAATCCTACGGTGGCCAGCAGGAAGAATCATATGGACGTCGGACTGAAGAGTCTTATGGTCGTGCTCCTGAGAGCTACGGCGGCGAAGGCCGCGAACAGGCATATGGCGATCGTGAGGACTCATACGGTGGATCACGCTACGAGCAGTCTCGGACCGAGTATGGAAGCCACAGTGGACGCGAAGAGTACGGCCGTTCCGAAGAGTTTGGTGGTCGTCGCGAGGAACCCTCATACGGCCACACCGAGAACACGTATGGTTCTGGTTACCAACCGTCGTACGAGCAGCCTCAATCTGAGTATGCGCCGCCGCAGTCAGAGTACGGCTCTGGAGGTGGATATGAAGGGCGCGAAGAGCCACGCCACCACGGCCGGCACCATGAGCATCGTGAAGAGTATGGCGGAGAGCGTCGCGAAGAGAGTGGCTATGGCAACGATGAAAGCTATGGTCGGCGGGAGGAACCACGCGAAGGCTACGGAGGCTACAGGCGCGAAGAGCCTCGTGAGAGCTACGGGGGAGACTACAACGAAGGCGGTGATGGTGGAGGTTACGGAGGTGGTCGTCCTCAGCCTCGCTTCGGCGGAGGTGGTTATGAAGAGGATCAGGGAGGCTTCGGCGCTGGCCGCGGAAACGACGATACTTTTGGAATGGAAAGGGCGAGCCTGAATGATGACGAGCCGGACCCCCCCAGGCGCCATCACCACAGTGGAGGCTACGGTGGGGGCGGGGGCTATGGTGGCGATGAGGGTTCGGGATACGGTGGCGGGTATGGCGGAGGCGGTTACTAGAGCGCGTTCTCGGTCAGATATCGGACACTCAAAGAAGAAGCTCACCCCTACTGTATGATGTAACGAGAACTTGAAATTGCTTATCCGGCGCTCGTGTTTTTGTTGGCACGTGTGAAGCCGTAAGTCATGTGAGCGCGTTCAAGTCGCGTACGCCGGCCGCATAGAGTTGGAATAGACACTTCATCACCCCAACGGCCATGACCGAACCAACCGACCATGCCGCATCCCAAGATCACGCAATCGAAGATGATGTGGATCCGGTGTGGACATCTAGTCGTACTGCCCGACAAATCCACGCTTTGAGCGCGGTCGAAAAGGTTCGATTCTTGAAGGAGGACCGTGATGACCGCCTCTAGCCCAGCTCATGGACTACACTTCGTAGGATATCAGTCGTCTGCTTACGCTGGCCTCCTCATCCATGTCTCTCCTGACACTTCCGCAAACGGATAAACCTGAGGACGACTTGCCCCAAGGCGACGAGCGGTCTGAACAGTTCGTTCTAGTTGTGAGCGAGTACTTTGAGAAGCTCGATGTGCGCTTCCATCTGCGGTTTAGTAGACGTCATGCTAAGTGCCCAATCTTAGGGCATCCAAGACGCGATTAGATCGTCTCTTGCACACATTCGCCAGTCACGCATAGCACCTAGTACAATTAATGCTCCGCCCCCAGGATTTGTACCTCCTGCATTAGGGGTTGGGCTGCCGCAAACTGCTGCCTCACCTACTGGTCCAGATGGCTCATCGAAACCAGACAACTACGCAAAGAGTCGTGGTTTACAGGAGGAGCGAGTTGAACGAGATGCGTGGCGAGGTGTTTTGGAAGCACTCGAACGTATAAAGAAAGCACGAGAGCCATTGCAGGTCGGCGACGTGACTATGCTTGGATGATGTGGTCTCCGTAGAGTGGTATTTGTACATAATGATCAAAGCGAGGCCGATGAGACATGCAAAGTGTACATGAACGGGAGAGCTCAGTGGAGGAAATGAGGCGACGGTCAGTAGTCCGCGAATTAGGAGCATGAGGAAGTCGTGAAGCGTGCGTAGGGAACATGACGAAGATAATCACCAATCCGGCCACAAGTCCAAGTGTGCATGACCCTCCTCTTCAGGGGCATCCTTCTCCTTCATCCACCTATCGGGAATCTAAGGATGATCGTCAGAGACAAGCGCCGTGGATGGCGTTGTTTGTCTTACCAAAGGGAAATATCGTTCCATCGCAGCAATGAAACGTTGCCGATATTGCTTCGGCGTCACGATAGTAGGCTCGCCTCGACCCCCACCACCTAGCAATGCAGACTCTTTGACCCAGCTTTCCAGTTTCTTATCCCAAGTGTACGTGCGAACGTAGTCGACAATGCCGACTACCAGCTCATTACTGTGGTTGTCAACACCCACCACGAGTGAGTAGTCCATGACGTTGATGTCCGCAAGAAACTTGCTATCGTTGTACAATGCGCCACGAAGAATACGCTTTGAATGTTCGCGTACGTAGAACGGGGCCATGTGGGCCGCTAAACAAGATCCGACATTGAGTACGATTCCTGTTGGAGTATGTTGGACGCCGACCTTGAACCAAGTTCTCGTCGAGTAACACTTCGTTCTCCCGACCAGTTGACTGAACGTGACGGTTGCGGGTTGATCCCTTCAAGTCATATATCTTGGAAGAGTTAGTATGGTCCCTGTGCTTCTCAAGTTCATTCGCACCTTCGAAAACTTTCGGCCGTAAAAGAGGTTCTCCATGACTATCACGTTCATCTGAGTCACTTTGGCTCGTCCTGATTTCTTATCTTTGTCATCATTGCGCTTGTAGGTGATCTTGTAGCAACCGAAGACCTTCGCTAGTAGAGTTGGACGCTGATAAGAGGTTAAATGGGGCCGATGTGGCAGAGGGGTGATGCATACGTCTGCAGAAACGGCCGAGGACATATAGTCGAAATAGGCTGGCGCAAATGTTTCCATTGTTTGGACTTCTGTGCGAGACATGCCCTTCGCGATGAAGCGATCGTCTGCAGAATGATTGAGTATTTGACGCGGCGGCTGTGTATTCGTGCACACCATGTGTTTTTAGAAAAGCAGAGCCCGACTTGCCACCACTGGAATCCCATTTGACGCAACGGGCCAGAGACTCGATCATACTCTTCTCACAGTCATAGGTGCGGCGGAGAGCATCGAACTGTTCTGGGTACAGGACCGTGCAGCTGATGGTCAAGCCGCCGCTTTCGAATGCTACAGGCGAAGTGAGAAATCCGCTTGATGATGTTTATGATGCGACTGACTGATAGCCCACGGCAATTTGGAAGAAGGTACGCGTAGATCGTCAGTCGGGTTAGCGGTGTCGTCAACGTCTCTCGACTCCATGTTTACCATTCCCCACGTCGAGCTGGACTCGGCGATGGACCGATCATCCGGCATGAATGCCTCCCCACCCTCGGACATGATTCTTGCCTCTCGAGCCAGTCGTTTCTCTGCACGCGACTTGGTGAGCATCTCACGGTATTGTGGCGAGCTACGCGCGTTTTTAGCCTCGTTACATATGAGACGAGACGAAGTTTCTCACTTCAAAGCCAAGGCTATGATCGAGGTTGGCTCATCCGCACGCACGACCATAGAAGAGTCACGAAATATATGCTCTGGATCAATAGTCGGATCTTCGTTGTCCAGATCATTGCGTGTTCGTGCCTGTACTTGATCGCGGGGCCAGAAGCCTGAAAGCGCCTTCATGATAGAGCTACCACCCATGGCACCGCCCAGATCAAGGTCAGACGGGACATGTTCTCTCATCGATGGCAATAATGGAGGTGAAGTGGTAGGAGACACCGCAGGCGAAACGGCAGGCACTGGCGTCGCGCTAGTGATCGGCGTTTCAGACTGAATGGCGGCAGCGGGCGCTAGCGTTGCATCGATGCCGGGCAATGGTTGGACCTGGTTCTCCGGGGTGGCAGCTGCAGAGGGGCCTTGAGATGGAGGTTGCACTGCGACCTGAGGCAGTGTTTGCGAGCTTTCTGGGGAAATCTTCTCGGGAGAATCCTTGCGCGCGTCATCCTCATCACCGCCCTCATCGTCCGCCTCACTGGAGTCGGAGCTCTCCGACTCGTCGCGAATCGCATCTTTCACGCTATCCAACACTTCAACCTTGGCGCGCGCAGTAGCAACAGGACGTGCTCTACGACCACGAATGACCGCGTATCGCCTATTGGCGCGCTCGGTATCCTTATTGATGCGTTCAAAATGCTTTGCGATATTGGATACCTTGCCGGGCGCAACGTTGGAAGGCCGACGGAAAGTTCCCTTCGGTCCAGCGCTGGACGGAGGACGTGACAATGACTTGTCCCGGGGTCGCCCGGGCTTTGAAGCTGTCAACTTGAGAGGCGGTGGCACTTGTTGACGCAACCCATAATCACGAGGACCACCCTCAGGCCGAGGACGCTTCTCCGGAGACGGTTGACGAGATGGGCCCTGAGACTCAGGCGGGGGTAGCGGTGGTGCTGGAATGCGACTATTCTGCTGATTCTTTCTCCGTGTATGAGCCAAGTAACGCGGGGCGATATTCGTAGCGTAACTCGAGTCAGCATCGGAGGTGGACGCCTTACGCGGAGCAGGGTGCCGCATGCGATTGCGAGCAGATGGCGGTGGACGAGGCGAGGGATACAACGACTCCGCATCACTCTCGACCGTACCGGAGAGCTGAGGAGATAGAGCGGTCTTTGCAAGATCCTCCACGCCCGTGGCAGGAAGGTACTCTTGGTACTTTTTGACGAGTTCAGCAACGCTGGGCTGTTGGCTGGGCCTGCGGGGTAGGCGTGAACCTGGACGACGAGGGGGTTCTGGTTGAACGGTGCTATTATCCATCTACAAGCGTTTTAGCTCCGCGAATGAGAACAAGTAATTCGTAACACGTACCGAAAGTGATGCATCCGGCGGTGACAAGGCCTCATGATCCACACCATAGTCTCCCGTCCTCGCAGCATTCAACGCACCAATGGTAGAATCGCTCTCCTCGAGATCTGACTTCGGTATCTCGCTGGATGACGGCTGCACCTGGGGTTCCTCTGCGATTGGGCTTTCGGCGGGCTGCAAGTCTGTTATCGTAGTAGCCTCCTCTCTATGTCGCCTGCGAAGTGTGGCATCGCGTTTGATACCGATGCTTTCTGAATCGCTCATGTCGGACGCGCTCGATAGGAACGTGGAGTCACCGACACTTGTGCCCGTAGTGTCCCTATGCAAGTGCGAGGTGACCCTGTGACCGCCGTCCTCTGCCTCTGAGACGCTGCTACTGGGCACCGTTGAGCTATCGTAAAATGACATCTCGTGACCGGGATTCCGACGCGGCCACATCGCACGCATGGTCCCGAAAGTCGACGCTCGCGTCTTACTGGTCAGGCGCGGATCGCGCTCACGCGGCTTCGGGAGATGGTCGAAATCGGCTTGCCAAGCAACGATCATGTCCTGTCTGGCACTGCGCACGGCATTGAGCGCAAGTGTATCTGTCGGTGCGCTCTGCGCATACGTCGAATTGAGTAAACGCGTAACTTCCGCCTGCTCCGCCTCCGCACGAGAGATCAAGAGGTTGACATGCGCAGTGAGCTTCGAGTCATGCTCTTCATCGCCAGTGGCTGCATCCATGTTGATTAGCTTGAGGTCGTCCACTAGAGCGTTATACCACATCTCGTTGCGCGCGGCCAGTCGGGTGTAGTCTGCGTTCTTGAGCGCGAGCAAGCTCTCCGGTCGGACGTGCACACGCCGTGGGGGGTAAACGATTTCGTGAAGCGTAACGGGGTCGGTTTGAAGTCGCACGGTCATACCGCGCGCGGCGAAGTACCGGATGTGGTGGACGTAGATATTGTGCTCGCACCCTGCACCCTGCACGAGCTGCACGTCGGCTGGGTAGAAGTGAAGCTCGAGGAACTTGGCGAAGCTGTAACGTTGCATCTCTTCGCTCACGGGGATGAAAGGCGTCGCGCTCCCACAGAGTCTGCACGCGCTCCAGGTCGTCACAAGCTCCGGCGAGGGTCCAACGAGACCGGTATCAGAACCTCCCGCTATCTCCCCATCCCATGGTTCTGTGGCAACGAGGATGCGAGTCTCGTTGTGGACGTAGCTCGTACAGTGACGAGTCATGGGATATGCGCAATTCTTGCCTTCGCACACAGTCTGTTCAACTATGTACTTCAGCCCCTCGCCAATGCATTCCGCGATGAACTGCCCGAGCGTGCGGTCATGCTCTCCATAGTAGGTAAGATAGCTGAGAGCTGGCGGGCGGCACGGAGGAAATTGACCCTGGTCTGGGCTCGGCACCTTGAACTCCCACATACTGATGAACTGGTACTTCTCCACAACGAAGTCGTCCTTGTTCTTGCGCAGGTACCATTCCCAGATGCGTTGTTGCTCAGCGTGCTGCCATTTGACGAAACGCAGGTTGCTTTCTAGGGCAATATCATCCGACGTCTTCAGGGTGAACTGCGTCTCCTCGGCAGGGGTAGAGGGCACACTAGTCGTCGCCGTCATTGTCGAAACTGGCGATAGAGCAGGCGTTGAGCTCAAACCAGAGCTGCTCGGCATCCGAAGATCAAAGTAACCTGGTTGGTCGTTCGCTGGTTCTGACGGTGGACGTGGCGTGATTGGTATGCTGCCCGGAGTATGTGGGATAGATGGCACACGAAGAGATTCTATCTGTGCGTGGACGTCGTCGCAGTCGAATGTTCCGCTCGCCTTCAGCATGTTCATAGAGGAGGAGCTCGTGAACGCATTCGCGGAAGGTGTTACAGTCGCCTCGCGGCTGTGTATATGTGAATCCTGCTGTTCTTCACGGCGGACGACTTCGTCTTCCCACGCCTGTTTGGCGCGTAACAACTCGTCGTCGAGCTCTTTCATGCGGCGAATGGGATAAGGGGGTGGAAAACGCAGCGTCGCGCTTACAGAAATGAACGTGGAGAGGTACGGTTCAAGACTCCGTTGAATACGCCGGCTGAGCTGAAGTTGTTCACGGTCCTCGTCGGGTATATCGCCGTTTTCGATGTCATTCTCGTCCTCGACCTGGATGACCGCGCACGACCCGATCTCGGAAGGAGGTGTGTTGATCCAGCGAGCAAAGGCGACGGCAAGGGGCACTTCAGTGTCCACGGCACTGGGATTGTATCGGGGCGGAACGGCATCGGGCGTCAAGTGAGGGAAGCTGATGACTGAGTCCTTCCAAAGATGGGTCTCAAGCTTGAGGTTGCGAACGATAAACATGAGGAAGCGAGTGACTTTCTTCACGCGTCGCAGAGTGTCAAGATCGGCGCCACGAAGAACGATGGTGCAGCCCAACTCGCGCGCGCAACCTTCAAAGCGCATGTAACTTTTGCGCCGACCGGGAATTAGAGGATGGTCGAACGTTTTCACGACGAAGGAGCCCGCGTGACCGAGTCGCGGCTCCAAGGCAAGCTTGTCGATGCTACTGAGGATGTCTGCCTGAGTCATCCGAGCAACGGCTTCAATGGCGCTGTGCTTGACACCTCGCGCTACCGCGATGCGCTGCTTGGCCAGCGCGTCCAGCACCAGCCGCGAGACAGACTTCTCCGCTAGTACGACATGCGGCCTAAGAGCGAGTATTCGTGAAGTCAGATTCCCGAGGTACTCCTTCTCCTGACGCACGATTTGTCCAAAGTGCATGTACTGGCCCTCTACGCGTGAGAACTCGAGCGGGAAAGTGACGAGCATGATGCGAGGGTGTCGCTCTTCGAGTCGCATTGACTTGTGCGCTACGTTCTTGGTGATCACCATCCCGTCAACGTATTCTGAGTCGCGCGGAGCACCACCAGGGACCTTCTTGATCTTGACATATCGACGCACGTCCATATCAGTCCCCTGCCGTTGAGGATAGGCCGTGAAGGTCAACTCCTTCGCCACTTGGAGAGCAAGCTTCAGAAGTGTTTCCTCCCATTCATGCAGATCTGGTATGTGTTCTCGAGTGAGCATCTGCCGAAGCATAAGCCGTAGATGGAACATGGACACCAGGTTGAGCTCATGAGCATAGCTATGAATTGTCACAATGTCAGGATGAGCTGTGTGCGGCACGACGAAGTGCGTACGCCATGCTATCGCGCCTCTCTCTCCAACCACCATCTGGCGTCATGAGATCAACCAGGCGGCTTTGAACTCGGCTACGGATGAACGGCGTATCGGTGTCCCAGTCCGCGACTGAGTCGTATCGCAGGCGTCCGAAGGGGCCTGGACTATCTGTATTGCGTTCCGGAGAACTTTGCGGGAACTGTATCGTGCTTGTCGCACCGTCACCCAGGGGCGCAGATACGGGGAAATCGACAGGTGTCTTCGACCTGGTCCCAGCAGGTGACATGGGATGTGCGTAGGACGAAGCCAAGGGGCCATCGTGACCCTCATCGTCGCCCATTGCCCGACGAAAAGGAGCGACGACCTTGAAACCGCCAGACGAGTGCATGTTCGGATAGCCGTCGGGAGTCATGGGGCGTGACCCAAAACCGCTATCATCTGAGCCCGAGATCTGTCGCCTCCTCGTCTCCGCAATCGAGAACAAGTTGAAAGGTTCGTCTGCGCGCCCGAATAGTTGTGAGGCAGAGAACGGGGACGAGGATTGGCCAAATTGATGTGCGGCAAAAGGCGTGCTGACGACTGAGGACGAGATGGAATGTCGGTCGTGATCATCGTCCTCATCTTCCTCGACCGTCTTCAGTTTGTCAAGACATAAGTTGCACACCCTGATCATCCCGTTATGCCCGAACCTGTATTGTGTCGGCGAGGTTAGAAGCATAGAGCTGTCATATCACCGCTCAAGCGCACCTGTAACCCTTGATTATATTTGAGGCGCAGCGCGAGCAGAAGATAGAGCCTGTCCAATTCGTTTCACATGTGTACTCGATGCCATTGCGTTGAGTACATACCGCATATACGGCAATGGTGTTTTCTCCGCCACGCCGTGAACACACTTTTGCAGTCGTAACATTCCTAATCGCATGAGTACATGTCGTATTCCGTTACCATGTTCGGCATACTTTGCAATTCTCGTCATCCATCCAGTATTCGCGAGATAGGCCTTGACGATGGCATTAGCGGAGTTTAATTAGTGTGTGATAGCATGATGTGCTTACCTTCCCCTCGTATGCGGCGGATGACCTTGGAGACTGAGTCAGATCGACGAAAATGGCCATTGACACTGGTCATGGTCCGGATGCTTCGGGCGTCGTCCGGTATAGGGAAGCCTGGTATGGACGTCCCTCCGTCCCAGGCAGCCTCGGAGACGGATGGCGTCATGAACGCCGCGTTACGAGAAGAAGAGCGAGGGATATCCTGCGGAAAGTCGAACGAAGGTGCCTCAGACTGGACCGGAGTGAGAGATATCAAGGGCGGGGCGATATTAGAAGAGGTCATGGAGAGTGGGGCGAGCTGCTTAGAGCTCGAAGTCCGTGACGATTCAATCGACTGCGTGGCCGAATTGGACGGTCTCCGCGGTATCGGCGGAGAGGTTGGCCGTGCACTAGGAGGTGGCGTCGTGGCGTTCACAGTAGCGGTTATGCTGGGATAAGATATGGCAGAGGTTGCAGGCGAGTTGAACGTGGACTTGAATCTGGAGATAAACGAGGACATTATGGACGTCTCTTCCTCGTCCTCATCGCTGAAGGGGTTCGCGCTGTATAAGGAGGTCACATCTTCGCGCGAATCCCGCGAGTACGAGGACTGCACAGAACCCTCTCCGCGCGCAACCTCCATCACGATGACCGCAAGAGGGAAGATGCAGAACGCACGTGGGCGCGCCCGACGCGCCGACGCGTCGCGAGTTCGAGCGCGCCTCACTTCACACCTTCATCGCACCTTGCTTCACGGTACGATACACTGACTACTATACTATTGCGTGCGACTGATCCCTACACTAGTCTGGACAGTTTACTCACGTACTCAAACTCTGAATAATCACCATGGATGACGATGACGCCGACTACATGCAGGGTAGCGAGGATGAGGTACCTATCAATGACCTAGTATTGCGTGCCACAACTCATGCATAACAAGGACTACGGTTTCGACTATTCTGACGGAGACGATGGAGACGAGGGCGGCAGCGCAGACGTCGAGAACATGTATTACACTGCCAAATGTACGTCCTCCCATGCGCCACTCGAGTCCTCGCTGAACCCAAGATCAGCGCACAAGGAGGATGATCCAGAGAAGGCACTAAAGGAGTTTCAAGCTATCATTGACAAGGAGCAAGAGAAGGGCGACTGGTACGTCTCCCGTTGTTGTCTGCGGCTCCGTGTGGCTGAGCATATGGCGTAGGGGCTTCAAAGCACTGAAGCAATCCACCAAGCTGTTGTTCCTCGTTCTACGCAGACCAGCCGAAGCTCTCAAAACGTACACGACGCTTCTGACATACACGAAGTCGGCCGTTACGCGTAACTACGCCGAGAAGACCATCAACGGGATCCTCGATTACGTTGGTGGCGGCAAAGGTGGTCCTGTAGAGGTAGACGTTCTCGAGAAGTTTTATCAAGCCACGAAAGATGCGTTGGAAGAGGCCAAGAATGAGGTCGGTACTTTGTATCCCATAACCCAGAAACCGTCCAACCAAATCGTACCAGCGTCTATCGGTCAAGACGAATCTCAAGCTGGCTAAACTCTGGCTCGATCGCAAAGAGTATGATCGCCTGTCGAAGGTAATTTCGCTTCACCTGACGGTTCTGGCTAGAGCGTGCTCAACAATAGCACAGCTTATCAGGGAATTGCATGCGTCAACCGGCACGGTCACCGACAGTGAGGAGCAATCACAGAAGGGCACGCAGCTTCTCGAGATCTACGCGCTCGAGATCCAGATGTACAATGAGACGCGGAATCTGGCTAAGCTCAAGGTTTGCTTTAGCCGATCTACGTCTGGGAACGTTCGAATGCTCAGTGCTTCACGCTTGATAGGAGATCTACAATGCGTCCAACAACGTACGGTCCGCCATTCCGCACCCGCGCATCATGGGCATTATCAAGGAGTGCGGCGGTAAGATGTGGATGGGCGAACGTACGTCCGCGGTGATTACATCCTGCCTCATAGCGCGTTGAAAGATGCATAGGCCAATGGAATCGCGCCAACGAGGACTTCTTCGAGAGTTTCCGGAACTACGATGAGGCGGGCAGTCAGCAGCGCATTCAAGTCCTGAAGTACCTTGTGCTTGCGAACATGCTCATGGGCAGCGAAGTCAACCCCTTTGACAGTCAAGAGACCAAGCCGTATGTGGCCCATTGGTCTCTGTCGTCTTGCTTCTGTGCCGATCATGGTCCACGCACAGGTACAAGAACGACTCGCAGATCAAGGCGATGACTGACCTAGTCGACGCTTATCAACGACGCGAAGTCCACGCAGCGGAGAAGATTTTACGGGACAACCGAAGCACGATCATGGACGACCCCTTCATCGCGTCGTACATCGGCGAACTTCTGCGATCTCTGCGCACGCAATATCTCATAGACCTCATCAAGCCGTACTCACGTCTCGAACTCGGCTTCCTTGCGAAGCAGCTCAACGTGGGCACCGACGAGGTCGAGGAGCTACTGATTGAGCTGATACTCGATGGAAAAGTTGAAGGTCGCATCGATCAAGTGGCTATGCGTCTTGAGCTTGACCAGAAGTGAGTTCCTCTCGCATGCTTCGCCGGCATCTCGTTGACATTCTGCCCAGGCAATCGCTCGAGCGTAAGCGCTACAATGCACTTGATTCGTGGACTGGTTCTCTCGAGAGTGTGCATGCGGCCGTCGTAGGCAAGAACAGTGGGAACCTTGGCGGGCGCGGGGCTATGGACATTGGCCCGGGAGCATATTTGCCTGATTTCTGAGTCTCCTTTACTCGTGGATCCCGGTTCCCGTTAGCTCGGCGTAGGATTTCTGCCGTTACGTGTCGCTCTATATATCCATCCTGTACATCGCACTTCTCGCCCATTGTATACTATGGCATTCGTTCCTTGCTCTGGATGCGTTCGGTTTAGCATGATGCAGACCCTTCGGATGTGGTGAAGCAGGTCCATTGATGAGCGCCATGCGTCAAAACTGCGCTAGATTGTATACACACTCGTTTATAGACGTTGATTCTCTGTGCCCCGCAGATTACCGTACGGTACATATGTAATGCCCGCGACCCAACGCAAAGCTTGTCCCTGAAACCAACAATCATGACCTCCGCCCACCGGCTTTCTTCGAACCGGCCACCGTCATCTGGCAACGCTATAAGTGCACACGAGACCATGAACACCCGACACCGGCTATTCTTCACCCGACCACCATCTGCGCTATGGCCGAACGTCTTCAACAAGTTGCAGGGCACCTCAGCGGCAACTATGGCCGAGGACTGCTCAACGGCGAGGTCGCCATCATAACTGGTGTGTGGCGCATGATCTGTGGTTCAGGACAGGTCGGGCTGACTTCGGTGTTCCGTATAGGCGCTGGACAGGTCAGATTACCCCGCACTAGATATGCGTGCTGTGCTTAACTTCCTTCAGGGCATCGGTCGCAGCTGTGCTCTACTGTTCGCGAAGGAGAACGCGAAGGTCGTGGTCAGCGAGTACGCACACATCTGTATTACACCAGACTCAACCTCCGTCGCTGAACTCCCTTACACTAGCCTCGATGAGTCCAAGGCGCAACTCGTAGTAGACGAGATCAAGGCGGCTGGAGGCGACGCAATTGCATTTGGCGGCGATGTCGGCGCGGACGATTTCCCCGAACGCATCCTGACGGCCACTATTGGGTGTGTGTCTGAATGCTCTGGCATTGTATCAACACAGGTCATTGACTGCACTCATAGGAAGTACGGAAAGCTAAATCATATCGTTAACAATGGTCAGTATGTTCAACTGGGAACAGGCTGCTTGCAGACCGCGCCTTTCCAACGCCAGCATCTTCGTGCTAACACCTCTTGTTAGCTGGCTTTACCTACGACCGTATGCTGCACACCATGCCGGACGACGCGTGGGATGTTATTCAGCGAATCCATGTCCGCGCGCCATTCCGCCTCATCCGTGCAGCGGCGCCCTATATGCGCTTGAAGGAGACCGACAAGCGCGAGAACCGCTCCATCATCAACGTATCTTCGACGTCCGGACTGCACGGCAACGTAGGTCAAGCAAACTATGCCGCAGCTAAGTCTGCCATCACTGGCTTCACCAAGACCATAGCCAAGGAATGGGGTGTATTCGGCGTACGCGCCAACACCGTCGCCTTTGGCTATATTCTCACTCGGTGGGCCATGCCCTTGACTTTGTGTATCTCTAGGCTGACATAAAATACCGGGTAGACTCACTGCTGCCAAAGAGGAGGGCGCGTTCATTGAGATCGACGGCAAGAAGGTAGCGCTGGGTATCCCTGGCCGCAAGCCGCCGTCTGCAGCGGACGCGTCGGCCAGTGCAAAGGCTTACCCGGATATCCCTCTTGCCCGCCCGGGGACGGCCGACGAGGCCGCCGCCGGCGTGCTCTTGTGCGTATACTTCGCTTTGCAACTCCGCGACTATGGACTGACTGTCGCTCATAGTTTGGCCTCGCCACTAGCGTCATATGTCAGCGGACATACTCTCGAGGTGACGGGCGGTCGCTGAGAGGCGACACTGTAGCATGCTCTATCGTCTGATGTACCTTACATACTAGCAGAGTATTCAACGGGTCAAATTTGTCTTTGGCATGAAGTCGACGAGAGTTCAGAAGACAGTATGTCGTCAAACTGAAACGCCTGCCGTCTACCAGGTACCTTATTTGCGCGTCCATGTAGTGAAGATGACAATCGAAGAGCCGCTCTCGCTGGCTGAGTACGGCCTCTCTCAAATATAGCAACTTATATTGCATGCAGGGGTCTTCGAAAGAATTATGTGACCTATAGATGTGCAACTGACGAGCAATAGCGAAAGCAGGTACGATAGTGGATGTAAAAGAGGACCTATAAAGTCTTGTAAATTTCTGGAGAATGCAATGCACACGCAACGGGATGCTCACCCTATGACGACCCCTGCTTGGGTTGGCGAGGCATGACAGGCTTGAAATCATAGTTCCAGCCATCCCGTGGGGGTGTATGCGTCGGCACATGCAGTTCCCTCGGGAACAAGCCTGGCAACCGACTTTCGAAGGCGCGTCGTTGGGCTACTGAAAGCGTCTTGAGCCAGTCCTCCTCTCCTGGTGCACGGTCACGGGGGTCGACCACCCGGTTGGCTTCCCTATATCGGCGTGGATCGATTCTTTGGAGCTCGTCCATGGCCTCGCGCATGCGTTCGAATTTGCGAGCCAGCTCGGCCTCACGTCGTTTACGCGTGTGCCGGACGTGCAGCTTCCACGCGCGCTCGATGGTCTCGTGCGCCTGCCGGCTGGGTACAGCGACCTGTAGCGCCCGCGCGACGTCTGGCCGCCAGGTGCCCGTTGGCGGTGCCTTTGACCGGATATTGGGCGGATAGAGTGTCTTGCGGAGATTCTCTTTCGTCGGGTCCCCGGCGGTGCTCACTTCCTTGCGGGCGTACGAGCGCACGGACGTCTGCGCCACCCGCAGTGGTTGCGACGGCCCGCGCAGAGTAGTCAGCAGCGCGGACATGGTGGGTAGTGGTCGTGTTGGCGGCGGGTTGGCTGGACGCGAATCCGTGACGCGCCACGGTCGGCCGCGGTTGCCAGGAGTTCGCACGCTGAGATCTTGCGTCTGCTGCCCATGGCGCCCGAGCCACGGAAATGTCTTCAACGTGTTCGCTGGCTATGAATGGTACCTTGTGAGCTGCCTGGGAGACTGCGCGACTGCTTGCCGCCCTCAGCCGGCTCTGATTGTCGGATAGCTCCGCGATGCATGTCGTGGTCTCTCATACCCGCAATCCCTCGGGCATTCGGGGTTGCTATCTGCGATTGGCACGTGCACTGCTAGCACCAGCCGATGATCCTACGGCTGAAGATGCCGTACCTAGTCTTGGAGCTGATTGGGAAGGTTGCGTCTCTCTTTAGGAAGGCCATCGCCAAAGAATTGTACCGACTCTGGTATCGTCACGTTTCTCGCAAAATGCGGCTCGCTCAATGACCGCCAAACCTCGATCTTGTCGGCGTCCGAGGGACGACAGACTTCTTCATCTTACACTGCACCCGTCAATACTCCCTATCTTTTGTCGTACTTGACATTGGAGCGTGACTGTGATGCTGTCCAGCCCGTGGGCATAGATCACTCCTTAACGATGCTACTCACGGCGTACTTCGAAGCACGACCGATCATTGTAGGGACCTTCTGTTATGTGTCGCGGTTTAGATCGGTATGGAGCCAAAAGCTGGGTTTTCCTATTGGCTTACACCTTCTTGCAACCGGCGGAACGAAGGAAGTCCGAGTAACCATCCCGAGCGGTTCGAAGGGACTCGGTAACTCGAAACTCTTCCGTCTCTAGCGGATGTAACTCCCGTGTGCTTCAGAACGACGCGAACGGGAGTCAAGTATCCCCCTGTGGAATGCCTGACGAAGAAAGTACGTGTACAGGTCTGGGCGCTTTCACGCGACTCCAGTGCGAATGGAAGGCAAGAAGGCTCATCACGCAGACATGTTGCCATCGTCTGAGCCTATTCGCGAAACGAGTCCGATGGCTGTGAGTGTGTGGGAGATACGATGAGGTTTTCTCGAGTCTTGACGTACCTGGAGAAGTAGCTCGAAACTCTCCCTTGATCTCTGCGGTTCATCTCCGGTAGAGACCGCACGCTCTCTCTGTGAACCGCATTGCCGGGGCTCTCATTCTTCTCTGCGCGTCGGATCGCTACCACCGCACGTTGAGCGCTGCTGCATCATGATGAGGGCAAGAACACGCTTCGAGCGGCAGGTGGATACGGCAGCGGATGGATCAGACATCTCGAGGCCGATGTGCGAGCGCTCTGATCCTGATGCCTTGAAAATGCATTTTGAGAGCTCAGACCATCCAATGCTCGGGCACTTACGGCCCTCATGGGGGGTCTTGGCGTTCACAGAGAACTACAATATTTATAAGACACTGCATCTGGGAATTGGCTTGGGTTATTCCTCGTGTTGGAGCACGTTATACTTAAGCTATAAGCTGCAATACATGCTCCAGAATTTATCTGACTACAGTAGCGGGGGGACTAGCGTGATTCATGTAGCTGCATGAAGTTCAAGTAGTTCAATGACGATTCTGTACCTGAATCGCGGGTCGCGACGTTGAGCGGAGCTTTCGATTGCCATGAATGACACACAAACTGGGTTACTCTTACATGACTCTCTTACGCGCACGAATTGCGGACAGTGACATCGGTAACTCCTCGCCTGACAGAGAACGTAGTCAGACCTGATCGGACTTTGGAAATGTCATGTGATCGCGTCTAAGTGCGACTTGCTGTGAGCCAGCGAGTCTGTTTCCCCCCAGCATCAGCTCGCGTTCCCGTGTCGCAGCTTGTGAGCGACTGCCTTGACGCATTATACAGCATGCTTGGTACTCTGAGCTCTCGGACATGCCGTCAACTGACGCCGACGTTACTGTATGCACGTCAGGCGTCTCCTGCGCTTCTCGCTGCGCGTCAGGTGCGTTCCATGTACTCCTTTATTCTTCATTGAGTTAATGCAAATCTCCCAGGGTATCGCTAATGCAAGGCACTTTGGTGCGACTGGACCTGTCATGGCGAGGGTGGTGAAGAAGAAAGTACAGAAGAAGAAGGTGCAAAAGAAGAAGGCACTCGTGAGCGTTCGTGAGCGGGAGAAGATGACACTGTCAGACGCAATCGATATTCTGCGGGTGCGTTCTTTCTGGCCTTGGGCTCATGCATTTCCTAAATTATCAGATAGGCAGTAGAGGTTGCGTCGCCCAAGTCTATGTATGAGTTGACCGTCAAGACGGCCATGGGACGCGGCATGGCAATTCCGAAGGGCCGTTTCAATCTCCCACGTGAAGCCAAGAAGACGAGCAAAGACAAGATCCTTGTCTTTGCGGAGGGCCGTGCAGCCGAGGATGCGCGCCGTGCGGGTGCAGACATTGTCGGCGGTCCAGAACTGGTAGACGGCGTCAGTAGTCCTGCTTGCGACGTCCACTGCATACATCTCAACTGTGAAATTGCTTAGGTCGTCAACGGAAAACATCAAGCAACAGTATTCCTGTGTACGCCGGACCTCATTCGAGCCATCACACCGCGTTTGGGTCGTGTGCTTGGACCGCGTGGTCTCATGCCATCCGAGCGTCGCGGGACAGTACTAGAAGACGTCGGAGGTTTCATTCGCCGTTTACAGGGTTCAGCGGAGTGGAAAGGTGACAAGGCTGGCACGATTCGCCTCCCCATCGCACGGGTACGATTATCGTTCAGACGTGTGGTACCCCTCGTTGATATTCTTCCAGATGGATTTCCCCGTTGAGGATGTTCTCAAGAACATCCGCTATTTCATGGGAGTTGTCAAGCGTGCAACAAATAACATCAAGACTGGGAAGGACAATGATAAGCCCGGTCAGTCCCTTCCACACTTTGAATACGCATACTCTTCCTCACCGCGCGACCAGTGAACCAAATCACCAAGGTCGTCTTGAGTTCACGGCAGGGTCCAGGCATCCAGGTTTATGACGCTTAATACCCCCAGACTTTGTTGACTCTTCCGCAATATATTCTTATTAATGATGACGCTATAATATTGTGTAATGTTACATAGAGTGGCGATGTGGCGATAGCGAGCTGATGAGTGGTGACATGCAAGAAAGCGAGCAAAGCAAACGAGTAGCACAGCATAAAACAAAATAAAGGAGATCACCACGCGATGTTCTCCCTCTCGGCCGCTTCCACAGCTGCGGCTTTCCTCGCTGCCCGCCGCTGAATCTTCTGCGCAGACTTCTCTTCAGCGCGGATATTCTTCGCGATGCGTGTATAAGACGCCTTTGGGTCCTTCGTCTCCTTACCGCCGGCACGTTTCCCGATGTCCAGACCTCGTGTTGCGTCTGTGCCCCCCATACGTTTGGCGCGCGTCGGCTGATAACGGATCTGTGAGCGATTTTTGGGCTCGTGCGGGAAGATGTCACCCCATTCGGATTTGCGTGCGTCGTAGTAAGCCTGTTTGCCTTGCGACTTCGGGATAGTCAAACGCATGATTTTACCTACAACGTGGAGTCAGTTCTGCTCGAACGCGAAGATATGAGGCGCCATACCTTCCGTAGCGCATACATCTAGTATGATATGACCGCTGCGCTTCAGGGGAGGGAAGACCAAGCGCGGCCAGTCGTACGCTTCATGCCGAAGCGTCTCGCGCATCTCAGGACCGAGTTTGAACTGCTCGTCCGATACAATCTCAGTTGGAACACTACGTGACGCGTCTTCTGGGATGGACTCGTCGTGTAGCTGAAGTTCATATGGACCCCGGACAAGCTGTTCCTCCATGTCGCGGCGACCAAGCTCGCCTTGACGCCCGGCACGAGTTTGGGCGCGCTCTGGACGCGCGCCACGGCGAACTACCACATAGGAGTATCCGACATCTTCGTGTCCTACCCCAGAATGTTTGGTCTTACGAACGAATGCGGGGCGTTGTAGTCTCTGATTAAAGGAGCAAACGAGCCGCATTGACGCCTCGTCGTAAGCGAGTGGACAGGCACCATCATGGGGACACTGTAACGGCGTCAACTTTGAAGAGTGTAAGATATAGATGTGCCCTACCGGCGCCAGAACATGCGCTCCTGGGACAGTCCCACCTTCGATCGCCTCCCGGTTTCCGAGTGTCAAGAGATATTCCCGGGCCTCGATGACGTGCGAGAACCCGGTCTTCGTGCCGTGGTCTATCAAAACCTACAATCAACATGAGTATGACCAAAGCAAGTCGTTCACTAGATCTTACTATGGTTTCCGCTCCGCTATTCCACATTTGCTTGACAATATCTTTACGTTCAGCATCTCCCTTGGCCTCAGACAGGTGAAAGGCGGATATGGCCAGGGCCCCCTTGCCGCTTCCAGCAGCGAGATGAAACTCTTCCGAGAATCCTTTGTTCCAGGTAGTCGAAATACCATCCAGTTGAACGTCTAGACATGCATGAGTCTACCCGATATCGTGATTTCAGAAGGTGAGCGAACCTCTTAATAGACGTTGCCCCATCGCAGCGAGACCCTGCCTGCGCTCTACCGCAATGTATCGAGTCAGGGTACTGCCTGAGATGCACCTCTCGGGCATGGATGCGTAGTCATTCGCTGTGGCGGCATCGGTCTGGAACACGTTGGAAGCGGCCCTAGATATATGATAAGCGAATGTATACTGTACTCTGCCAAAATACCCACCAGAAGGCACTCCCGGTTCCAGCTCCCCAGTCAAAAACTGTGTCGACGTGCCAATCGGGACCCAGTCGTTGTTTAGCATGGCTGAGGACGGCAAAAATGGCGGCATAATGTGCGGGTAGTGCGACTGTGGCGAATGCTGTGCCATCGCGTTCGCCCAGGTCGTGAGCTTTCCGACGAGACTTGTACTGCACGTCGTATTGGAAGTTCCAACTACCGGACGGTCCGTCTTGTACTCCGTTCTGGAACAGGCGTTTTGCGTCGTTACGAAGCTGTGATTTATCCGAGTCTGTCCAACGACTTGATGAGTTATGTCTGATGAAACAGCGCATAGGCATCTGACCTTCAATGACTGAGTTTATACTTTGCTGCAACTCGTCCGGGAGTATGACGGCTCCCACTTGTTGACCTCCGAATCGCGCAGCCGGTGACTTGCGCCCGACGCGCTCATCAGGTTCAAGTGCCAGCTCTTCCAGCTCTTCAGTCTCGGACGGTAAGGTCTCCAGTTCGCGCAGAGAGGCCGTAGACGCGTCGGTTGTGTGGCGCTTGGCCTTATGATTCAGGAGGGACATGTTCGCGTCTCTTAACAGCGCCTTCATGGACGGGTCAAGGTCCAGAGGAGCATTGGGTTGGCCAGCGCGGAGATGGAAACTGGTGGAGAAGGATGCGCGACTCTGAGCGCGCAGAGCCACGCCAAGTCGCACACCGGACTTGCGAGGCAACATGACAGCCGAAGCAGAGCAGCAAATGGGCGCGCGGGAATTCCACGGACGCGTCGAATCCGAACTCGAACGCGACTTGCACGCGCCTACCATCTCATATCTCCACTCAGCGCCACTCAGCCATTCTGCCCTGCGATGGCGCGCGAGCAAAGTCCGTCAAATATGGAGAGGCCTGCGAAACGTGCACGGACCGAGGAGCCTGTGGATACGGCGCTAGCCAGGATCAGTCCTGAGAACGGCTCCGCCGCTCCGGACGAACAAGATCAGGAATTCGAAGAGGAGGGCGTTGAGGAAGAGGCATCAAATGATGTAGCAAAAGGCTCGGACTTGTATCTAGACACGGTGTGTTCTCCAACAATCCCACCTATGTCTTGCTTGGCCTGAACATTATGACAGATCCATCGCGCCGCTCTTGACTTCGACTTCGAGAAGGTCTGCTCTGTGTCTACATCGAACGTCAACATATACGGCTGTCTTGTATGTGGAAAATATTTCCAAGGGCGTGGCCGTAAATCTTATGCGTACGCCCACTCCATACACGAAGACCACCATGTCTTCATTAACCTGGAGACCACCAAGGTACGGCAAGTCCACGCTCAGGATACCTCCCACATATCCAACCGGAATCTGTAGGTATACGTTCTACCTGATGGCTACGTCGTCTCGGATCCATCGTTGGAGGACATTGCCTACGTACTTGCACCGACTTTTACGCCGGCGATGGTGGCAGCATTGTCAAGCACAAGTCACATCTCAAAACCTTCGTATGACCTATCCGGGAAGCCGTACCTCCCAGGATACATTGGTCTCAACAACATCAAACGGAACGACTACATGAATGTCGTTGTCCAATGCCTCCTGCATGTGCCACCACTTCGCGATTACCTCTTGCTTCATCCCTTCACCGGCAAACATTCTGAACTGTTGCGACGGTTTTCGGCGCTGACCAAGAAGCTGTGGAATCCGCGCCTCTTCAAAAGTCAGGTCAGCCCTCATGAGTTCCTGCAGGAGGTTGGGCGAGCTAGCGCCGGCAAATTCAGGCTAGAAAGCCAGAGCGACCCCGTCGAATTTCTAAGCTGGCTGTTGAACCAGTTGCACAAAGATATGGGAGGGACGAGAAAGCGCAACTCCAGTACACGTGTTGATACTTTCTCACCGTCGCCGTACTGACGCCCGCACCAGGCATCATGTTCTCGACGTTCCAGGGCGAGGTGAGAATGGAGACGCAGCAGGTTATCGTTCAGTCACACGTACTCGGGCACACGAAGCCGCGCTTTGACATCGACAGAGGTGGGCGTTTGTCGAGCGGCCCACGAGTTGATCCCTGATGCATGGTATCCTATCGCAGACATCAAGACGGCTACTTCACCATTTCTACTCCTTGCAGCGGATCTCCCTCCTCCTCCCCTGTTCCAGGATGCCGTGGAAAAGAACATCATTCCGCAGGTCGGCATTCATGCCGTGCTCAGCAAGTTCGACGGGACAACCACGCAGGTTAGTAGTTGGAATCTCTCTTCCGAACAGAGGATATCTTACCAATGGCGTGAATAGGAGTCACGCGGACAACTTCGACGATACAAGTGTCAGCGCTTACCACCCTACATCATCGTTCACTACAAACGTTTCACCAAAAACAACTTTGTCGAAGAGAAGAATCCGACTATCGTGAACTATCCGTTGCGAGGCGTGGATTTCAGTCCTTGTGAGTCTGATCACGCGGATGTCGGGCCGACGACTGATTCGTGTACAGATGTCGATGCGCCTACGTCAGATCCGCCTCTTGTGTACGATCTCGTCGCGAATGTCGTTCTTGACTCCGTAGCAGGCACAGCTCGTGACAAAGAACACACCGTCTGGAAGGTTCACTTGCGGGCGGGCCGTGGAGGTGGCGATAATGAAAAATGGTTCCAGATACAGGATCTCATTGTCGAAGAAATTCAGAAAGAAATGATTTTCCTTGGCGAGGCTGTCCTTCAGGTGCGCCGAACATCAGATTGTTCGGAGCATGTTTTGGCTTAACGCAGTGATCTAGATCTGGGAACGCCGACAGGTAGGGACTTCGTAGTGGCTGCTGCGCCCGCCACACGACCCTGACAGCGTTCCGGCGGTCCTTCCCGCCGTCGCTCCGGTGCCAGATAGCAAGTCGTGGTATCCGTCTTGGGCACAATGCATACATGAGGCAACCTCAACACGACAGTATTCATCAAGAACAGTTGTTAGAGATAGTGTTGCTAGGGAATATGTACACCATCGTAGTCCTGATCACTACTAGCGCTAAACCACCCTTCCTCGTCTGAATACAAAGGAGTTGATGGATGTGCTTTGAGACGCGAACATATTGTATCTCGCTACTCTCGAGTCTCGGGTGCTTCGCCATCTCGACCGCGGCAACCATCAGAGCAGCGCCACTAGCTATCCTTGCCCCTGGACGTCCCGCCGGACGCATCAATCTGATTGCTACCAGTACTGCCTCCATCGGGTTCTTCAGTTCGAAGAGCAGCAGTCGTACTCTTCCCATCATCCTTGCTGGGAATAGTATTTACACCATCGTCAGAAGAACCCTTTGCGCCATCTCTGTCGGAACAGAACAGGGTCAGCCACGTTGGTTTGTAAACACTGACTGTCGTGGCAGCCTCAATTCATCCAGCCAACGTACCGCTTTTGTTGCGTTTCGGCGTGCTCGCGTATTATGGGCTGAAAAGCATATACGCTAGAGGCAATACCTAGCCAGGGTATGCGAGCATATAAGCTATATATTTGCTTGACGTGGCACATGGAGACGAACTCACCGGCGAGACCTGCTATGATCATACCTTGAACCCGCCCACGAGACATGATCGAGGGCTCTAGATCCGGGATGAGAAAGTCCAACAGCTAGTGGGAGTGCGGACAAAGTCGAATGGCGAAAGTCGATGTTCATGCGCCCATGCGCGGTCGCTCGATTTGGACTCACGCGGCCCGCGACTTGGCTCCATCATTCCGGAGGGCGCTAGCTCGCGGCAGTGATGCTAGCACAGTGCTTGCGTTCTCACAACGAAGTCCAAGCACCCCTATCTCAAGTGTGCGGACGATTGTCAAACGTACCCTGGCGGCACTACGAGAAGCTTGAGATGCTTCGAAGCTGTACAAGACAATAATTCGATAAATATGCGATGCATGATGACGACCGCAAACGGCAATGACTCCTCAAACGTACAGTATTAATGGTGAAGCATCATGCCATACTCGCAGACGTCGTGAAGTTCAAAACAGTCCGAGGGCTCTGAGGGCCACTGACGCGGCGTGCTCCTTAGCATCGCCTAACCTCCCTGCCGTTGCCGATCCCAAAGGATTATTATTGACTTGTTGGAGAACGTCACTGAACGGATCGGGTAGACAGTAAGAGGGGGGCCGCAACATACACTTATACGTCACAGTCCAACGGCCTGCCGCGTTTGACGGCGTCTCTCGTAGCTCACACGACAGCTGTGTGACAGTTCCTTGCGCCTGGAAGTCTGCGGGGAGCCGTCAGCGTTCGTCAGATCGCTCAAGGACGGCATGCGCACAGTTATTGAGGCGGACTGTTGCTGGAGAGCATCCCGTAAATACCTCAGCGTTCGAACGTTACCACAGGACAGTGAGGCAACTTACCGGGATCGGCCATGCCTGGAACGCAGTTGTGTACGAGAGGCAACGTTAGGATCCCGATTATAAAGGGAGGAGTCTCTGTGATGTCGCACTGCTGCTCCTCTTCACTGCATTTATAGTCCTTCTTGCCGCCGAACGTCGCAATCACTCCTGAAGTCAGCAAGCTTATTGGGCAAGACCGCACCCAGCGCCCGAACCTATCAATTGTCAAGTCGCCGCGATGGGCCTCCAGCACAGGACCGGTGGATGGCGGCCACTGCCGAGGCACTCTCGGAGTATACACCCGCGCTGCGCGAGAAAAGAGATGAACAAACGGGGAGTTCATCAGCACGAGGAAGTCTCTCGGAGTCCGATTATGGACCAACGAATGCACCGGACCATCACCTCTGGATACGCCAGCGGGCATCATCGCTAGAAACATTTGGTGTCTGCGGGTGTTGAATCCGCACTGCGAGATTCTGTTCTGCCGGGCCGCCCCAGGCATCGCATGATTGAGGCTAGGACCTGCTGTATGTCGATGCCGACGCGTGCACATTAGGCACGTACGGACCAAACTCGCGCGGAGAACGTCAGCCGCCCGTGCGCCGCTTTCACGAACCCCATCATATCAGAACTGACGTGACGGTCACTGAGGTACTCACGAGAGTGAATTGGTATACCTCGGCTTAGAGTAGAGAACGGAACATGGGAGGGTCGAGGGGCGCCAACTAGCCACTCTCCCTGAGCTTCGATGGATTGCATCGATTCCTCCCGGCGCCCGGCGTTACGGACCCAGACGGTGCAGGTCCATTGTAAGATACTGAACGAGCTGATTGACCGATGCCATACCTTTCAATGTACTTGAATTGTCAAGCGCTGTGAGACCTTGAGCAAGGACAAATGACGCCTTCAAGGCGATAGATAGAAGCCGAAGGTGCAGACAAACAGGACGTGAACTACGCAGAATCTGGTGTCAAAGCGCTCATGAGATACTGGCGCTCAGCGCCTAGGGTGCGCAATGATCCCCGAGTGCCATCAAGCCCGGCGCAAAATCTCGAAGGCCTTGTCTGCAGCCTCGTCACGGGCGATATGCTTGAGAGGGCCCGACCCAGTGGCGATAACCCTCCCGTCAACTGGAACTCATATTAGAGACGGATGTGCCGAGTTCGAGACGGTAACGGCGTACTCTTGCATGTAGAGGTCCAGGTTGGGGAGTGCTGGGCCCCCGCAGTTACGTCGACCCAGCTTAGGGCGGCCAGCTTGCCGATGCCTTGTAGGTCTACAAATTGTCAGCGAACATGCATGGGTCTCGACAGCAATAGGTAGCGCACAGTTGTTGAGAGCGATGGTACCCTTTGCTGTAGAGATATCAGCGTGGGCTGCGGCTCCACAGGAAGAACAACTGACGTCCAGACATGTCAAGAATCGACTGAAGGGCTGATAATTGACGCGGATGAGGTTGGCGAGCTCGCCGTTGGAGAACCCATTGAAAGGCTTGTTCGGGGTATATGTAGTTGAAGACCCAGGCGATGAGCACGCCGCGCCGGACGAGGGGAGCGACGGCGGCATGTTGATTGCCAATATTGCGCTTGACGGGCATCCCAGCAAAAGTATGATCGAAAAACGTTGCACACACGCCGTGGGCGAGCGTTCGAAGCGATGGTCGGCAAAGAGTTCAGGGTGAGAAGGCAGGACGCTGGCGAAGAACCAAGAGTAAAGAGCATCGCCCCATCGTCCAGAGCTGAGACAAGCCGACTAGGGCTTCGACCTGTGGCCTTCGAAAGCGGAGATGAAGCTGGACAACCAAGTTGACCTATGGTAAGGGTCGCACCCGAGAGTAACCTGCGGATCCACTGATCCTCAAAGCAGTTGCCAGACGTGGACAATGAAGATGGCCGCACCAGTCTGCACACTGGCAGGTCAAGCTCCCCGTCGCCTCCGCCAGCTTCGCAGCCTGATCGTACACGATGCCCCACTGCAGAGCTCACCACAGTAGCTCTAGACGTCATGTCGAACCTCTCAGCTTTCCCGGGGTATGGTAATGGCTGGTGGCGTGCGAGAGAGAAGGCGCTGGGGATGAAGAGGCGATCCAGCACTATATTTGCTGGCGTATTCTTTTGTGGTGAACATGATGTCAAGGGAGGGGAAGAACGATGCGAGTGACTCAGGTGGACGTGCGTCGTAAGGCGGAGGTAGGGGTTTCTCGCAAGCGCTCCGACACGCCGACCTTGCGCCATATTAGACGGTAGTTGCTGTGGGGAGTGCGTCGTGCACCGTCCTGTCATAGCGTAGCGTTGCCGTATTCTTTCTGAGAGCGTTGTCCAACAGCTGCGGTGTGCGATCATATCATCGTCCTCATGTGTAGTAGAAGGCATGCGTTTCGGGGCGTGCGACAAAATAGGCAACATGGTCGGGTGCGCTTTTCGCGTCCGAGCCCGACGTGCGCCACCCTCTGCCTCAGAAGAGGATCTGCGGTTGCTCTGCTCAGCTACGGTCGCGACATTCCGATGTGAAGTAGTGAAGATGCGCCCAACGATATGAAAGAAGTCCTTCAGATGACCGAGGCTCAATAATCCGCCGGAGTGAACGAGAAGTACGTGAACAAGCCTGCCCGGCCGAAAGGTTGCATCAAAACCAGTCGTCTTCCGTGGGTTGCTGCGAGTCGGTCACGCTTCATCCGTCGGCAGAGTTGCAGCAAATCGGATGATACAGGTATTGGAAGCGATGGTGCGCGGCAAGACGGTTGGAGACAGGTGAGCAGCTCGCACGAGAGCGAATGTGAGATGCCACCGCTGTTTAGGCCATGGAGGTCTCGGCCCGCTTCATTTGGAATAAGCTCTCGGCAATCCCCGAAACGCCAATCATTTCGGTTGCGCCAGTCTCCTCTGCTTGGATGCACAGCCGCACTCAGGTGCCTTGGAACCTACTACCACCGCGGCACACCCATGCAGTTCAAGCTCGTCGTCTTCCGTATGATCTATTGCCTCCTCTTTGCCCTCCTGCAGTCCAGTTCTCGCCTCCTCTACGCCCGTGGTCGATCGCGTGAAGGCGGCCTGCATGCTGTCCTGTATGATCGCAACGGGCCCCGGCCGTTGCTCACTTCTCGTCGGCATGCCCCGAGCCATGAGAATCGGACAGTTGTACATACTGCGCTGGCTCCCACACGGCTATTCTGCGACAACCACATGCATACACAACCAGTCATCAGTACTAGGCCGCTGTGTCAGAGATCGGCTGATTTCAGGTCAAGGCTCCGTGCTCGTCGGGTAGTATGAATGCGCTGAGAAGCACTCAACCAAGAAAATAAAGCATAGTGCTTTTGGACGACCTCTGTTCATTGGATAACTTCTCTGTGAAATTGCTTGGTGCATTTCCGAGCTAAAGTTCACAGCCACAGGCGTGCTCTGTTTGCCCACGTCCACCTCCGCGATTACATGCCCCAACCGACGTTGAGGTAGCGGCGCATGTCGGCTGAACATGACCCACTCTCGCGAGCATCTTGTCAGTTCGAACAAATCTCCGCGTCTTCCATGCGTGTTGATAGTGCCGATCTGTGCCTTTCGCGCGAAGAAAAATGGGCTTAACCTTCATTCTCACGCTTCAGCCTGCTGCCCCTCCGAACGCGACGCCGATCGATATTCTCGCTCTACTTGGGGCCAACCGCTCAAAGTGCTCTCTGTTGCGCGTGTACTTCAGACCGAAGAGCTCGAGCTCCGCGCTATGACGAGTGTTTGCAAGTTTCAGGGATTTAGACTCAGGTTGAGGGTATGCTTTCAACGCAAAGAACGGATACCGATCGCGCTTCGATTAGACGAGCTACTGGTGAGATGTTGAAAGTGATAACTATTGGCGACCGCGAATTACTAATGGATACAGATATTGCATGAAGATGGAATGTGCGGATAGAGGATCATGATGGGATGGGAATCGGAATATGCCTTGTATATGAGATGTGATTATCGGTCGTCACTAGCTTTACTGTCCTGGGGATGAGAAATATGAAGGGTTGATGCAGACGCAAATGCCTAACGCTCGAGGTCCGGGAGGAATGCGAAGATGAAAGGAATATGTATGCGTGAAAGAGCTTATGGAGATGTCTTGGTGTGCCATCAGAGCCGTAGTTGACCATACAGCGTCTAAAGGGCGCCAACATTGGTAAGATAGATGCGGGCCGCTTCTGCCTTGGCTGTGCCTCGGTTGTTCCCTCGGCCCGTAGCGACGACTTGCCCGTTAACTATGCACAACATTGAATACCTGGTCAATCGCGTTGACGTAGTGTTCGCTCACTCTTAAGATTGGCAAGGTGATGAAGCTGATGTTGAGGACCCGCTTCGCTGAACTCCCAGCTTGCACTACCGAGATGACGGTTGCGTTGGAGATAAGTATTCAGAGAAAGCATATAGTCTACGCGCCATAGTCAGCGTGTGAGTCAGTGGATAGTTGCCATTACATACCCGTCATCAACACTATATGAAGATAGTCAATGTTCTTCTGCGATAGAGCTTAAGAGAGTGGAAAGGCTGGAGACTGTATGGGCTTAAGGGAGACAAAGCCACCCACTTATATACTCTGGCAACTGTAACTGTAGCATCCTTTAGTTGTAGGAGGAACCATCATCTCCAAAAGCACAAGAGTGACTCGCGTACCACTCCTAGTGCCGAGTCAAACGCGCCGGAGCATCTTGACCGAAATAATACTTCTACCATTCCCCGAGAACTTGTCTCCGTGTCAAAATCCGCGACGAGCATCGTATCCTGTGAGATACGTGCTTGTTCAGTCGTCTCGAACAGTGTTTCTGGAGCTGAACGGACACACATCCTGAACACGAGTCAAGCTGTGGAGTTTGTTTCGAGTGTCCAACTGCTGGACAGGGCGGGCGGGGCGGGATACCTGGATATCTGACGTAGCAGAACGAGTAAAAACACTCGAAACGCACGGCCTCGCGATGTATGGAAGTATTGCCGAGCAAGACCGTGCATAAGGGCTTGGTATACCGAGTCAAACTCGCATGCGACAACCTCGGCGACCAGGTGCAGGCCTACGTTTAACGTCAGCTATGATGGCCGTAAGAGCCAGTCTGAACTGACGGACCAGAGCGCCAGCCGCGATATGGGGCTCGAACTGCGATCTACACTGCATGGACCCTTCAATACTTGCCTCGATGGGAACCTCAGAGCGGGAGCTGGATGCCGCACCGTCGGTACAGCCTAAGCCGGACAAAAGAGCCGGTCCTGAAGCCGTATGGGATCACTGCCGGCGATCTATCCGGATTTCTGGGACCGTCGTCAAGGCGTGCAGGGGATGCTGAACGCTCATCTCAACGGGATTTATCAAACCCGTCAGGCGCCCTATTCTGCATTTGGCGAAGTCGAAAACCAATCCGGGGAGCACGGTGAGCGGCTCGAAACGCCGTGATGCGTAGAAGTATTCCATTAAGCAAATAGCGCCATGCACATACACGTCGCACATGACAAGAATAGAGCTAACACACGAACTGACAGTGCAAAGTAGATGCGTATCTCCAGTCATGCCGATGAATGTCGCGAGCGTTCTCAAGCGGACCCGAAGCCGTTAGAAACGCAGAGTCATTCGTATGAATCGGTCCACCGGAAGTCCGCAAATTGGGTCCAATGCGGTCACCAGTCATTGCCATGCCATGGACATGAGGGATAACGACGACTTTATGTTGCGTCGTAATCGATGATCTATGATCGTCCGAACACGCCGCCCTGAGGACTTTCGTGTGGGTAGCATCGCCGAAGCGGGAGGTTTGTAGACTACGTTACCATCCAGCCTTGTGCGTCTGGCAGGTTAGTGTCGGATCTCCCAATGAGTATGATCCACTACCTGTCTTTCTGCTCGAGCGAGTATGCATAACGACAGTCCTTGGCAAGCGGAGTCGACATGCACTGGTCAACAGCGCGGAAGACGCAGATGGAATGGAGCCCTCACTGACAGTAGATGGTGGGTATCCTGCTGCGAGTGTTATACGTGTAATATCAGTGTGGGCGCTCAGATCCCAAAAGAAAAGTGATGAGATGGGATGGGCGTCAAGAGCAAGAGGGGAATAAGGGCCGAACCACGTGCCAAGGGCGAGCTCCCACGTAGAGACGTTGCCGTCTGTTGCTCTCCGCCGTCGTCCTCGCCGCTCCCGTCGCCGTCGTCGATCTCGCGAACCCCCATCTTCTCCCGTCCCCGTCGACCTGACCGTTCCACCCATCCGGAACTCAGCTCACGTGGAATTCGTTACATCCACCCGGTCGCTCGTTCCGTCTCTTACCTCCCGATACCTCCCCTCCCGCTTTGGTGAGTAAGCGCCAATGTCGTTGTCAGTGTAACAATCATGGCCCTGACACCATTCTCTCGTAGTCCGAGCGAAATAGCCTGTTTCACCATCAGTCTCAACTTGGTCTCCAAAAATGTCATCCAGCCAAGGCGATATCCAGGAGCGCATTGCTGCAGCTCGCCGCGAGGGCGACAGTCTGAAGGAGCGCATTCGTGCTAAGCGCGAATCGTCCGCGGACACCAGTCGTGAGTGGCTAAAGATATGCGTCGCTTCCGGAATATTCCTCATATTATCCTAGTCCGCGCTATGGCTGCCGAGGTCGACCCACTCCCCCGCATTGTCATGCGTCCGCGGCGCGCACTGCGCGGTCATCTTGCCAAGATTTACGCCATGCACTGGGCATCGGACAAGCGCCATCTTGTCTCGGCCTCGCAGGACGGAAAGCTCATCGTCTGGGACGCTTACACGACGAACAAGGTCCACGCAATTCCGCTGCGTTCCAGCTGGGTCATGACTTGCGCGTACGCTCCGTCGGGCAACTTTGTCGCTTGCGGTGGCCTGGACAACATCTGCTCCATCTACAACCTCAATAACAAGGAGGGCAACGGCATCAAGGGCGCCCGGGAACTGTCGGCGCACTCGGGCTACCTCTCGTGCTGCCGCTTTATCAACGACCGTCAAATCGTGACTTCATCTGGAGACATGACCTGCATGCTTTGGGATATCGAAGCCGGTGTCCGTGTCGTCGAGTTCAGCGACCACACTGGCGATGTGATGAGGTAAGTAGGCTTTGATGAATGTTGCCTGACGCGCGCGCTCGGTGCTGACGAATCTGGTTAGTCTTTCGCTCGGCCCTAACCAGAACGTCTTCGTCTCGGGTGCTTGCGACGCGACAGCGAAACTCTGGGATATCCGCAGTGGCAAGGCAACACAGACCTTCACTGGTCACGAGTCCGATATTAACGCCGTCTCGTACGTTACTATGCCTAGAATGTGGAGTAAATGGACTCTTACGCACAATTATAGCTTCTTCCCTAACGGCGACGCGTTTGCGACTGGTTCTGATGATGCATCATGCCGTCTGTTTGACATCCGCGCGGACCGTGAATTGAACACCTACACGCACGACAACATCCTGTGCGGCATTACGTCTGTCGCTTTCTCGATCTCGGGTCGCATCCTCTTCGGCGGCTACGATGACTGGACGTGCAATGTCTGGGACACTCTCAAGGGTGAGCGTGTGGGCGTTCTCACCGGTCACGAGAACCGCGTGTCTTGCCTCGGCGTCAGCGCAGATGGCATGGCTCTGTGCACAGGGTCCTGGGACAGCACGTTGAAGGTGAAGCGCTTCATTCCTTAGACCCGTGACATAGTGCTGACAAGGAACGCAGGTTTGGGCGTAAACGGGACACAAGCGTTCATCGCTGGCATACCCTCTCCCGTCTCACGCACCCATGTTCTTGGTTGACGCTCCCTATTCGAGTCTCCATCTAAGCTCTCATATCGTTGCTACTGTCTTTCCCCATGCCGGAGTTTGTGGTCTTCTGTTAAAGTATTTCGTTTGTTCATAGTGTTTTCTTGTCGTATCTCCTACAACCCGCCTTTACCCGCAACTATCATTCATTACCCGTCCTGTTCATCACATTTGCTAAACGTGACGCGCGCAGATTCGAGCGGAGATTGCTTGCAACATAGCTGATACGTGCTCACCTCTGAGCTGTATGGCCATCTAGTGTGCGTTGGTAGAATGAGAGAAGTTTGGAAGTCGGAAAGTACCGAGAAGATCCAAGAGGCGTGTTTGGTGGCTCGGCACCGTGCGACAGTGTTGCTCCTGACCACCATGCGCGTCGCTGTAGGTGGTCCTCACGGACACCGGCGTCCCAAATTCGGTACATCTCATGCACAGATACATTTATGTTGATGTGAAGATCGAGGACGAGTTCTCTCCCCACGCCCTGCGCCCTTGGAGCGCTCAAACCGACGTTGACGGGCCGCGGGTGGTGACTATCAGTCCACAGTCAACACGGCAGCATATCATCGCCCAAGCAAACAATTCAAGCATGCATCATCTCTTCTGTCAAACGCTGGTATTGATGGCACGTACTATCTCGGACACCATAAGCAGGGGCTGAACACTTGTGGCAAAGATCTTGACGTCTTCTCTCCAGTACAAGCCTTTACGCCGCTCCCTGAGACGGCCGGCGCCACTGTGGCGCAAGATTCCGCAACGCAGTCAGCCCAAAGGTCACGTATCATGATATCTTCTGCGCTCATTATCGGCGCTGGCTGACAAGGGGTGTAGGAGCTAACTTAGATGTGGCGCAGTCTTGCGAGGATAGGAAATTGCCGATCGCTCAATGGGCAATCGACGTCACGTACCGGATTTACTGTACGACGACATCGTGGTAAGACTGCCCCGACTCTGGCATCTCCGACAGTAGTACATACGTGTATACATACGAGGCCTCTCTCGCTTGTCGTATTGCTCTGAGGATTGATGGTGGGCGCTGACGGCTTTCATCTATCATAAGGACACGGGTAACTTATTTTGCGCGACATTCGGCGTTGACCTTGCGATGTACAGTCATACACGGTTCCATGACGGATCACTCACAACTGTGGACCAAAGTCTCAAGGATGCAGTCACTGCGCTATCACTGCAGGCGCGACAGGATGCGACCAGTTCGGCGACGGGTACTGTGTTTGGCAGGGGAATGTGAGTACGCCAGGTCTACATCGACTGCTGTAGGCGCTGATAGGAGGCAGGGTAGGGTTATCGGATCTGCCTCTTGTCTATCATATAACCTCAATTGGACGGCGTTCTCCTAGGACGATCAGAAGGGCCAAGACGATCGAGTATGTTTGCCGCGTCGGGACTCGACGTACGTACTCCACCGCCGATCATGGCTGTATATGCAGCCAGAGCGGCCCAGAGTTCTTGTACAAGTACAGGGTGTACTGCACCAGAATAGCTTCAATGCACTTACGCAGTCTGTACAGCAGATCACACAGTACACTCGTCCGTGCGAAGAAATACAAGGCAAAAAGATGTAGGGCTTTGACTCAGCATGGGGTTCGCTTCTCTTTACCCAGCACATACCTTGAACTCATGAACCCGCAGCGCAATTCTGGCGCGAGCGCTATCTCCATCGCTATTCAGTGTATCTCAATGTCACCGACACCTGTAGCCTATCCGCACACGTAGCGCCTGTGACTGCGGGTTCATTTGCCCTAGGAGAAGCATAGGCAACATACCGGCTATCCAATAACTTCCGGACTTGAGCATCGTAGACGCAGACACGTTCTTCTGCGCACAGCCTTCTTGTCTACAACGCAACTGCGGGTAATCATGAAGCTATCAAACCCATATATCCGGATGCGGGTCGTCGACCCTAGAAGTCCGAGTACCGGAGTATACGTCGAAGCTCTATGCACGTATGCGAGCCTGAGACACTCGCCTACGATACTGCAACAGTGCGTGATGCCGGACCATTGAGGCGATCGCCGCTTTGGAAGATCCTAAACCGGACGACTGCGAGCTTTGTCGAACGCAACTAAGCATGGCCCGTCTGTGGACGGAATCCTGTCGTACGCCGTATCTCATGGGCAGAGGCGAATGAAGCCAAACATCGAGCGCACATTCAAGCATACTCCGACACATGACGGTCCGGCGATCCCTTCATACGAGTGCGAAGGAACGGCGGCCCGCGCAGAGTCGCGAGGCTTGAGGTAGAGAGGCGCACGAAGCGTCCACCAAGCGTATATGAAGGCAGACGCTCACGAATGTGCCAATCGATAGACGAAGTCAGTCAACGCCACATCGCTGAGAACACGATACGGTAAGATTGGTTGTATTGCGAAACGATGGGTCAAGCGAGAGAAGTCGGACGGGCGACGTGAGGGCAGAGACGGTGGGGATGCTATGCGCCCGCGACAGACAGCGGACGGACTACACGCATATAGTACTACTACAATATGGCACGGGCAAACGAGTAAACGAAGATCGGCCTAGGTCAAGGCGATGTGGTCGAGACTGGGGTTCTGAGTGACGGTAAGGACGTATGCGAAGGAGGGCGTGATATCCGCTCCAGGAGGAGGGAGGGTAAGTAATGTAACAACGCGCAATCGAGCGAGCGAGCGAGTAGAGAGGGAGAGCAGGACGGAGCGTTGCAAGGATATATAGTATGGCGGTTCCTGCAGACGATACTCTGGATCAATCTGAATCATTCCATTTCCATCCGTGTGGTCTCGATAATCGAGGATAGGCAGGACTTGCAAAGGCGCCCTGCACTCACTCGGCGACGGTGCCCACGGGGCGAGCGCCGAGGCTGGGGTGGCGAACACCGAGACCGGCGGCAATCATGCGCTTGCCAGGGTCGCCGATACGCGCACCATTCGAGGCGGGCTGGGCGGCAACGATAGCGGGGTCAGCCGCACCCTCGAGGGTCGAGCTGATCAGGCTGTCCAGCGTCGGATGGCTCGGCAGGCTCGGCAGCGTCGGGCTGCCCTCACGGCCATTGCCGGCGGCGCTCGCACCGGCGGCGGCTGCCGGTGTGTCGACGGACAGAGCAGAGGCGGGCCCACGAGGCTTGTTATTGGGGATGGCGATCGAGTTCTGGCGGCGGT